TCGTTGTCTGTTGTCTGTCTGCCGAAAATTATGACTTGTTTGGAAGTGCAAATAGCTCACTTCCTGTCTGTTTCATCTGCTGTGCCGAGCCCCTCTCCTAAGCCCCTGTCCCCCTACCTGCCACAACTCTCTAGCTCTGCGGCTGCCCCGCCTCTGCCTCTTATACTCTTGCTGCTGGGCTATTTCAATTTTCTCACGCAAGTTGCAGCGCATTTAAGGCAATTAACTCGATCTTTTGGGTCGCATATATATGTATATAGATTCGTGATCTGCCTTTGAATCGAGCCGATGCGCTTTTTTTTTTTTACTTTTCTTTTGCCCTAGGCCGAACAATAAACCAAGCAAAAACCAAACCGAACCAGCTATTTTTTAAAAAATGGATCAGTTCAAAATAAAAAACTTAAAAAATTTGAGAGCTTTCACTATCAGCTAGAAATCAAATTGGTTTTTGAATATAAAGCAAGTCTTTTACCGAAAACTGGATGCAAAAATTTGCAAATAGGTTCACAAATCGCAGCGAACCCAATCTCAAGGCAGTGTAGTTACTTTACGCTTCCTCAGTTAAAAATTGAGTGTCTGGGCGAGGGTATTTAATATTCGGCACACGTTGATAACAATTCCCTCTTGTCGCTGTCGTCGCGCAGCCGCAAAAGTACTCTGATTGTTCTGATTGTTGTTGCTGTTGTTGTTGTTGTTGCTGCTGTTGTCGCCGTCACGGCCCGACGATGGTCGCTGATAAGGCCCAAGCCATAGCGTTCCCCACTTTACCCATTCCCAATCCCAATCCCATTCCCATTCCCAGAGCCGCAGCCGTGCCCACTCCTCCTCCGATATCCTCGTCGCGATAAGGTCGTCCCCTACGTGCTACCGAGTTAGCTTTTGTTTGCTCTCCTTTCGCCCCTGTTTCCAGTACTTCGCAGACTTCTCTCAAGGTTGGCTGTACCTTATTGATACCCTGGTAATGGGCATTATAGTTAAGCCATAAGACACAGACGCCTCCAAATGTCATCATATCTTATCATATATCATATCTCAATATCATATATCATATCATATGCCGGATCGAACTATATCATACAGCTGCCATATTTACGTTCGCTCGAAAATTCTGTTTAAAAAAACTTTTTGGTTTTTCCAAATATGTTATCTAATTTAACCTAACCTCTGCTGTTTTTATAAAAACATAATCTGATTTTAATGGAACTTCTATATGATATACCTGTTCCTTGTTGAAGTTATATATCTATAAGATTATGCTCTTATATAGAGAGCAGATTCTTGAATCGGTTGAATAAGAGAAAAACTTGGCTGCTTTTTAAGATATCTTAAACAAACTTGGGTTTTTATGGTTCTACCAAGCTCTTTTCAGGTGTGTAAAATCTTATTAATATAGGACTATTATGTGGATAAGAGGAATCCGAAACCTTTTTACAATTGTTGGAGCTATCCACGACTAAGCCATTTCTCTTCCATAGTCCAGATCGATCGACTATAGAAACTTTCTTGCAAAAGCATTCACGAGCAAATAGTGCGTAAGGGTATTCGAAGATCGGCTTTGCGATCGTTCCTGTTTGCTTTTCTGCTGCTCTGCTCATCTTTTAGAATTTTTGTTTTTCGGCATGTGGGCGTGTCAGCGGAGTAGTTCACAACAAATGATATCACATTACGTATCGCATATGGGCTTGTAATGCGCTTCCGTTTTCCAGCCCGTAATTGCCAACAGGTAGGCTATAACGGGGAGGCAGCTGGGGGCGTGGCGCGGGGCAAGCAAAAGGCGCCGACGCCGCTTAGCGAACGGCGTTTTTTCGGCTCATTTGCGGCCGCTACTTAAAGGTCGCCCGAGATTCGACTCAAAGGTTTTCTTTTGGGCCGGGTAGGGCAAAGCCCGCAATTACACTTCCGCTATGAGGCGAATGAGGAGATAAAAACCCGAAACCGAAACCGAAACAGAAACAGAAACAGCAGCCGAAACCGAAACCCAAGTCGATCCATTCATGTCTCAGTCTCTCAGACTCAATCGAGATCTGGCTGAGATTCATTCATTCAGTGAATCGAGCATTCGAGCGAGCATTCATTCATTCGTGTTGATTGCCACCTTTGGGCCTTTTGGGGCCGCCTCTGCCGCATGCCTCACGGCAGCCGCATTTAATGTTGTCTCCATCTCGCTTCGACTCTCCCTCTCCCCCACCCCCCCCCCCCCCTCTCTCTCACTATCCCTCTATGCCTCTCTCTTTGGCTCTGCAATGATTAGTCGTCGTCTGTGCTAATGAACAGCCGGCAGCAGCTACCTAGTGCAAAAAATATATATGTATATACAAGCAGCACTAAGCTAATTGTAACTGCTCGACTAGCGAATACCCTGTTTTTTAAATAACTGCCATTACAATTGAGAAAAGAGATTCAACCAAAAAAAAAAAAACAAATCAATGCACAATTCTATAAAAATGAATAGCAATCAAAAATATAAAAAACGACAGCTCCACGGAACGCGGCAAACAAACAGAAATCAAATCCAATTTATGCTTTTTATTTCTTATTTGTAGTTTTTTTTTTTTTTGTTTTTATGTTTTTTTTTTTAACCAACATTAATCATAATTTTGGGCTCCATTCGGCGAGCGTGAAATAATTTTTATGCGCCGTTTTTACGGAACGAACCCAAATCCGAGATCCGAAAAGGTGTCAATCGCTAATTTGACGGCCAATGCGAGGCCTGATGAGAACTGCAGAGAGCTGAGAATGGAGCATGGCGAACGTGGGGCCAGCCAGAGGAAGAAGAACAAGAGATGCATTGTGTTCGCGCAATTAGCAATGCGCCAAATGTTTGCAATCGGGGAATGCTGGCTACCAGGCCAGGTCAGGCCGTGCAAGGTCAGGGGTCCAAATCCAAGTCGAAGTCAGACTTGAAATTGTGCATATGTATATATGTACATATATCAAAGATAATCAATCTAAGTGTAGAGCGTAGAGCTCAAACAAACGGAGTATTGCGAGATTCCACTCGCTGTTGTGAAAAATTGGTGGATTGGTATTAAAACCATTACAAAGAAAACGTTACTAAGGGTTCTCTTAACTCAGAATACTCTATGAAGATGAGAATGAAAGATTCAAGTACAAATTTTAAGAATCTTGGAAACTTGGATAGTTTTTATTATTATAATCCAAGTATCATCAAGAGCAACGAGCTCATTATTATCATTATCATTATCATTATCATTATCATTATCATCAGCAACAACAACAACGATGACTCATATCGCATATTGTTATACAATAATACGAGATCAGCTCAATTTGGTGCACTGATATGGGTTAAGCCGAGAGAATTCGGAATGACAACAAGAAGAAAGGTCTTCGTGGGCATCTTTCAACTCGGTAGCTGACAGATCGAACGGTGTGGTGGGCGAGGGTTAAAGGTATGGCTGTGGTGCGTCGGGAGCGGGGGGCGGTGCAGACAGCCAGAGCCAGAGCCAGAGCAGTTAGCGCAGACAATGATGACGCTGCAAAGTGTAGGGGCTGAATGACACGGAGAGAGAGCAAGAGCGAGGTAAAACGAAGGAGTGTTGGAGAGGGAGAGGGAGAGTGGGGAGGGGAGAGGGGGGAGATGCTGCTGCTGCGGGAACCTGTTGCAGTTTCGTTTTAGCCGCTTGAAAAGCAATTTTTGAAATTTATTTTCCATTTATTGCTTTATTTATTTTATACCTTTTCAGTGTGGCCCATTCTACATGCCAGACAGCGTCTGTGTGTGTGTGTGTGTGTGTCTGTGTAGCTGCTTATGCGATTAGAGCAAGAGGAGCTCAGCCTCGGCTGCTGCAGTCTGTTTATTTGTTTTGGGCCCAGAACAATTCTCGACCAAAGCAAAGGCAACTTGGCCGCGCTCAATGGGCGCGGGGACAACAATCGAAAGTAATAATGAAATCTCATAAACAACAGCAATAGCAACAACAACAACAACAACAACAGCAGAGCGCACACACAATAAGAGTGCGAGCGAGAGCGCAAGCACAAAACTGTCTGCGCCCTTTTGCCTGTGATGAGTTCGCAGTCACAGTCGCAGTCAGCGTCGCTGTTGCTATTGCTATGGACGACACTTGCCTTGATTTTTATTATGTTGGGCTTTTCCACACACACACACACAAGCACACATTCACATAGGCACACACATACGTGCACATGCGCATTTCTGCATTGTTGTTGATTGTTGTTGCATTGCCTTTTGATTTATTGTTAGCAGGAATGAGAGAATGGGCCCAGGCAAAGAGCAAAAGGCACAACAGCAACAACAGCCAACTTCTCAGCAGGCACCGCTGCATTGTTGCTGCTCTCTCGCTCTCGCTCCCGCTGCTGCTGTGTTTTCGTGCATGCATTCCGCACTCCGAGCATTTTTACCTTTTGCCAAGAATTGTGCGTGTGTCTGCGCCTGTAAGAGTGTGTCTGTGTCTGTGTGTGTGTGTGCGTGTCTCTGTGTTGGTTTCTATTCTTGTGCGGGCAGCAACTTCGTCGCAACGTCGACGCAGTTGTAGACAGTTCATTAATGTTATCAACAGCATGGGGGCATGGGACATGGGGTCGGGGGCTGATCGCTCATTTCTTTGCATTTCGGCCGCATCGTTGTAGGTAACAGCAGCAGCAGCAGCAACAACAACAACAACGAGCTGCGCAGCTCGTATTACTGCGCTGCTGCGTCGCTGCCGCTGCCTGGGTTTGTGTCCAAGCTAAACGTCAATTTTGAGCCGCGTAGCACTTGCTTGTTGTTGTTGTTGTTGTTGTTGCAGAAATGGGCCAAAGACGAGTTAAATGAAAAATAAATAAAACTGGTGGCAACTATTGGCCAAAAAAGGATACAACAACATGCGTCGCTGTCTTGGCCCGTACAAATTGTCAGCTCGAATGGAACGGGCCAGTTGCATTTTATGGACAGCTTGTTGACCACATGAACTACTTTCCAGTCGCGCAATTGCCGTTAGCCGTCGCTTAACAGATAAAAATAAACCACAACTCACCTGTGCAATGCGTGCAACCTGTGCTGCGCAGGATTCCAAGTCTCAAATCGACGGTTCGTTTCCTTCAGTCAGCCGCAATCACAATTGACATAGTTGAGTATTCAATATCGGCGCGAGCGAGAGAGCGGGAGAGCGAGTTTCCACTCTACACTGTTTTTTTTGTTTGTTTTTGTTTTTTCAATCACTTGGTTCATTCACAAGCAGAAAACAAGTTACCTGTTTGCATCAAATAAAAGCCATTAGAAAACTTTTTGCATTTCTTTTGCAGCCATAAAAATGAAAACCGAGCAAACAAAAAGAAAAAAAAAACCAACAAAACAAAAACCGAAAGATTCAATTAGTTTTGGCCCCTCTCTTTGTCCGACATCCGACGTTGGCAACAAGCAACGGCACATTTCCGAAATTCGACTCTCCAAATATTTGGCATTAGAAATGGGAAAGAGGAAGCAGCAGCAACCGGCAAACTAAGCGCCTCCCCAGGCAAAAGGCAAACCGCAAAAATTTCCGATTCAACGGTTACTTTTATGAATGAACGACGAAATTGATTGACTGGCAATCAGCTGAAACATTCAGCGGCACATTCTGCGTACATCGGCTCAGAATGGAAGATAAAGAATGTTATGAAAACATGAATACGTGTAGTTGTATGTATGCATCGATCATATGTGATGTAAGCATGTGATTGAAAACTGCAGCGCATTACACTCGTAGCATTACATCATATATGTACATACATCTGCGCTTGGTTTGTTGTTTACATCAATCAGACAGACACTTGGCCAATAACTGATGCCAATTCAGCTGTGCATATGTACATGCATCCTGTGACGCACGTGCGCACAATTGTGCATACATCAGTACATCAAGTTCTATGCATTTCTACATCTGTGTGTACATCAGTACATTAGGACATCACACACACACACATTCGCACACACACATACACAGAAGTATTTATGTCATTTTGTCGGTTGCCTTTTGCAGCTGTTTGCCGGCCGCCGCGACGTTTTAAAAATAAAAACAAAATAAATATAAATATAAATAAAAATCAAAAGGAACAATAAAAAAAAAAACAACAACAAAAATGAATGTAAGAAAGAAAATACTAACAATGCAAACGCTTCAACCACTTCGCACGCACTTTGTTCTTGTTGTTGTTGCTGTTGTTGTTGTTGCCTTTGCTTTGCGTCGCTTTTTGGCAAATTGCATTCGCTGCCAATTAACACGCACTTTAACAGGTAGCCGCAATCCTCATTAGCCTGATGATCATTAGCAGCTGTAGCTGCAGCTCATTGATAACAATTCGCACAGTTCGCGGGCTGCGATCACTGAATTAAAAACAAACAGAAAAAAAAAAAATACGACAAACGCAAAGAACGTACACACAGAAAACACGCCAAAAGCAAATTGGGGCGAAAGAAAAAAACGGTAAAGATGCTCGCGCACAATTGACCAGAACGCAGAACACAACCTGTCAGCGTCGCGTCACGTAAGTAACTGAACTGAAATGTCTTCGTGCATTCGACGTCAAGAGCGGGCAGCCGGGCCGGCAGCGCTCGGCTCGCATCGGCCGCACACGAGGCATATGGCCGAAGACACGGCTTGTGTGCGAGAGCGAGCGACAAGGCAATAAGCAATAACAAAGCTGCTTGGCGATCCACCAATACAGGCGCAGCGCTGCTCAAGACGGCGTTAAGGAAGCTGCGCCTGCTGCAGTCGCCCTCCCCCCACCCCTTCACCGAACACACCACACACTCAAAACACAGCCGACAAGCGCAAATCGAGCGCAAAAGAAACACGTGCCAAAAGATTTGATTTTTTTTTGGTTTTTTAATTTTAATTTTTTTTATAATTGTTATTTGCTTGACAGTTTCCATTCGAATTATACATTTATGTTGATAATAATTTGAATTTTTTTTTGTAACTTTTATTCTTGTTCAATAAACTGTAGTATAAGTATATTTAGTTTAAGTTTATAAACTTTGTGCATGTGCTTGTGTGTGTGCGTGAGTGTGTGAGTGTGTGTGTGTGTGTGTGTCATAAGCAATTTTTGTGAGGTTAGATTAGGATCTGTTAATTGTCAAGCTGCACAACATTTTCCACTGGGCTCTCAACGAAAAGAAATCATCGAAAATGAAAAGATTTTAAGATTTGATGAGCAAAAAAACAAAAAAAAAAAATTAATATTATTATTATAATTTTTATAAAATGGCTTATATATCATTTTGGTTATGTATATGTAGTTTGTTCTTGTTGTTCTTGGCTAGTATCCGTTGTTGTTGTTGTTCTTCTTCTTCTTGTTCTTGTTGATCTTGTTTTGTGTGTGTTCGAGTTAGTTGGGCCTTAAGGTTCTATATATAGGTATATATATATATATTTATATGTACTGTAGTTATGAATCCATTTAACTTTATTGTTTCGTTACGAGTTTTCACTTCTTATGGCCGTTGTACGTTTAAAGTTAGTTGTTTTTCTTCTTTCATTTTTTCTGTTTTTTTGTTTTCTTCTATAATTATTTCAATAATTTTTGTGCAACTTTTAAGATTAACAGTATTAAAAGTTGTAGAAGCAATTGCAACATTTCGTTTCTTTGTTTCGTTTTTATCGATGGTTTTCTTTTCGATATCAAAAATTAGCGCATTGTGTAAAATTGTCCCTCTTGTTCTATATATATAGATATTCCATAGTCTAACATAGTATATATATATAAAAAAAAGTTTATTTTAAAAAAAAAGCTAACTTCTGTTGTGGGATTGTTGTTTTTTTTTTTTCTTGTTTTGTTTTGTTTTGTTTTCTTTCTTCTCTTCTGTGTGTCGCCTTAGACGACGGGTGGTTCGGTGCCGCCCAGGGCCTCATCGTTACTGAAATGTTCGGGAAATAAAAAGGAAATCAAATTAAACTTAAAAGAAAAACAAATAAATTAAAAAATTTTTAAAAAAAAGAGTATAATAAACAATATGAAATCATCATAAAAGATAAAAAACAAATCAACTTTCAAATATTTAGAGCATAAAAGATTTTTAAAATATACAGTTATTCTAACGTACGTCAAGCTTTAAGTCGTAATCGTATTGAGTCTTATGCACTCAAGCTTTTGCCAGCTTTAACCTCGAGCTCTCAAGCAACAAAGAGCTTTTACCTCCTTGAACAGCTGTCAAAAGCTCCTGTTAGCTGCCGCAACTCTACAAAGTTTTCGTGAGCTTTCAAAGCTCTTTTATTTCAAACGCCAAATGATTTCTGAGCTTGAATGAGTAAAGTGTAAGTTGAGCTTTTAGCTGTATTTGCGATTCATTTGCGTTCACTCAAGTTTTAATGAGCTTTCGAAGCGTTTCTCGTGGTAATTTCTCATGTTAAATATTAAACGCATGTTTGCAACTTAAGTACATTAGACATTTATCGATTAATTTTGCAATATATGTATTTATATATAGTTTGATATCGATATACTTGTACTCTTGCATAGGCTGCTAGGCATAAAAACATTTACTATAAACAGACAACGCTAAACGAGTGTTGAGACTAATTAATATTGTAAAGACGAAGAATAGAAGAGTATTTGTCTATCGGTTTGACTGTTCAATTTCAGACTTTGTCTCAACGAGTTGAGCTACGAACTCGCACTTGCCAGCATTTCAGTATTTTGCGATTAACATATATGTATGTAGGTATAGCCAGTAGGCAATATCTCTTAGATATATATAAATTTGATATAACTGTTTATGGTATATATGCTTTCCTAGGTTATCGTCGCGCCTGTGCCGAAAAGATTCACAATTTACGACTCTGCCGCTGCCTATGGAATAATTCCTTGCCACCTATCAAGTACTACGATAGGTTTTACACTTTCTTAGTGGTAAGTAAATATTAACGATGTTCTTCTTTTTTTTTTAACAATATTACGGTGCTAGCTAGACATAAAAAAAAAAAAAAAATTAGCTATATATGTATGCGTATATGTTTGAATCCTTCGGGATCTGTCGTAGTTGAGTTAGTTATTTGAAATATTTAACTATAAATTTATGTATATATATTCGATATATATATATTGTTATAACATGATATTTTGCAGTGATATGGCACGATAATTGTTTCATATGTCATTCAACAGATGGCGCCACGGCCGGGCGCTTAGCTCGGCGCGGGCAGCAGCCAGATCAGGCCGCCTGCCAGCATGGCCAAGGGCGCCACTGCCACGCCCACGGGCCGAACACTCGCATCGTAGGCATAGCCATAGCCATGATGCAGCTTAAGGTTGGGTCGCGGATAGATGATGTGCACCGGCGGCGGCTGATCGATCTTGTCGAAGAAGTTCGGATCGTATCTCTTGTCGCCCGGTTCGTAGTCGTGATAGATGAGGCTCGAGGGATTCCAGTAGTCGCTAATCTCCGCCAGAGCCGCATGCAGTGTGCAGAATTCAGACCGATTAACAGAAGTGACAAAAAAAAACCCTAGACTCAAGTCAGACCTAGAGGTAGAGTTGGCTTAAGCCTGAACAAGTGTGTAGAAAGGACCTGATCCTGACCTAGAGTAGCTTCTAGCTGAATTTACTGCTAAGGGTTGACTATACAGCAAGCTGAATAGCTGCCAGTTGCAATAGTGGAAGGCTCAGCGGGAGAGAAGATTAACCTAAGCTCTCCGACCTAGACCCTCATCTTACAGTTAAGCTGTAGCTGTGCTTAAGCTGATCGGGAAATGTTGAGGGACTTTAAAGTCCAGTCACCAACTATTTAGTCAACGAAACAGATCATAGCCCCAACTAAGAGGTAGACTAAGACATAGATTTTCTTCCAGTGGCTCACCTAAAGCTCAGACGAACTTTGAACTGCATCTTGCTAGTCTATGGCAGAGCAGCCTATAAGGCCCAGATCCCATTACCCGAGCTAAATCTTAAACATAACAGCTTAGACCTAGGTCAAAAATTAATGCTTTGTTACGTACGATGAAAGTAAGCCCCAACCTTGACCCTGTACTCACTCAAGGCTCATAATTAATTTGACAAGAGTCTTCTCCTAGCTAACCCAAACCCACAATCAGATCTCTCCCACGCCCGGTCTTTGACTTTACCAAAGGAGATACCAGCTCTCTCCTAACCCAGGGTCATGTGTCGATCCAAACTTGGAATGCACTTACCCAGAGCGTTGTCTAGAACTAGACTTCGACCTAAGCCAAAGCTGACCTTCACCTATGTACCCATCCTTGACCCGAGAAGACGAATCTCCTTACCTAACCCAAAATCACATCTCGATCCAATCTACAAATGCATTCACCTAAAGCGTGGACTAGACCTAGACTAAGTCACAGCTAGACCAGGATTAAGGTTTACCTTGACCAGAGGCGATAAGACTTTTAATTTAACACTAACCCAAAAGCCGATCTCGATCCAAACCCAGTCTTGGAATACACTTACCCCAACCGAAGGTTAGACCTAGACTTCGAGTCAAGCCACAGCTGATCTGGAGCTGGCAGAAAATTTCTTTAGGTACTTACACGGGGCAGGTATCCACGTTGACGCCATTGACAGCGGCCTTGCCCAGATTGATCTGGCCGACGGCTTCGCCTTCGACAAAGACAATGCAACCGTTGAAGTTGTGCGTGTAGCGTTTGCCCGTGAAGCTCGATATGTCCGGTATGCCACCTGCAATGGAATTGGAATTGGAAGCAAGTGAGCATGAGCACAGTTCATCGATTAGGGGCAGAGATTAAATGAGGAGACTGACCAATATAGACGTTGCCGGGCAGATGCATCTCCTTCTTGCTGGTTGGCCGTGTCTCGCCGGAATCGGAGATGCGATCGACCTCCAGTATGGCCGTGTTATCCGCACGCTTCACCAGCACAATGTGACGCTGTCCATCATCGACGGGCGTGTCCACATTGCGTATGACCACCTCCTCGCCGTCCAGACGCAGTGCATATTCCACAAAGCCATCGACGACGGCTAATGCTATAAAGTCCTGGCCGGTAAACTCCTCGCCAGCGTTCTGGCCCCACCAGAGCAGCAGGCCGTTGGGCTTGCTGGTGGAAAAGACGACCACCGCCGAGGTGTACTGCTGATCCACCTGCGAGCTGAACTGGTTGCGATCTAGCTCCAGATAGCCGTTGCCGCGGAACGAGGCATTGAAGCTCACTTGGATGTCTGTAAGGGACGGACAAGAGCAACGAACGGCATAAGAACGACAACTCCCCAATTTGCCAATCAATCTGGTCACACTTACGCTCCTCGCAGTGCTTGCCACTGTAGCCAACGCCGCAGGCACAGATCGCATGCTGCTCCAGCTCGGTGCAGGTGCCGCCGTTCTCGCAGGGCTCATTCGCGCAGGGTGACGCCGCAACATAGGGCTGTTGCTCCTCCTCGTGGGAGGAGGTGCCAGCGCTGGCTGACGGTGCTGGCCCGCCCATGGACAGCTGCTCGCCATCGGAGTCGCTGTCGCCAATCTCGTTGAGTTCGTTGCAGTTCTGCACATTGGCCGCATCCTTGATGCCCGCCAGCAGCTGAACGGGTCGCATCGAGTCGTACAGCCGCGAAATGCAGCCATCGAAGCCATCCGTAATGTTCACATCCCGATTGATCTTGACCGTCGCCCGATCATAGCCGCCCACATACAGCGGCGTCTTCAGCGAGAGTGTGCGCGGTGCACCCGCCGCCTTGGCACGCTGCTCGGGCTCATCGCCCACACGGAGTATGCTCTCGCCCTGGCGGCGCAACAGCTCGACGCGCGTCCATCTGTGCAGCGGCAGCGGACTCTGCGAGCGCACCACCACCGGCTTTAGCCGCGCCGCCGTGTTAATGATCAGCTCCACGTGGCCGTCGCGCAACACCAGCGCCACATAGTCGCCGCTGGGCAGCTTCGACTCGGCCGCATACAGCAGCACCGCATCTCGCAGGCTCGATGGACGCAGCGACAGGGTCACATTGATGCGCGATACGCGAGGTGTGCTGTGGAGGAAAGCGGTGCGAGTTCAGCGGCAGTCAGTTGTACTTTAAAAGGAATGCCTAGATTAGACCTTCCATATTTCTCAGATCAGTTAACTATTAAACCTTTAATTGATAATTCAAGTTGATCGTAGGATTAACACTTTCTCTAGACGACATGTTCTAGCTTAGATCATAACACCAATCTAGTTAAGAAATAAGGTTTGAAGTTTCCCTCTTTGTTTCACTTCTTTCCATGAGTTGCCATTGGACCATTTTCCTTAGACAAAAAATGATAATATCTTTTGAACAATAACTGGTTAAGTTCTTTAGAGAAGAGCTGTTAAAGTTAAGCTTCCCTATACTCAAAGGAAGTTCCTTAACTATTAGGAATTCCTAGGTCGAAAGATGTTAACCAAAGTTAAGGAATTCCTAGGTCTAAATTGTATATAGGAAAATGTGTCTATTCCAAAGGCTGCCATCCTCCCAGATGGATATATTTTATCTACAGCCCCTACCACCTATGTATACATAGGAGTTTTACTCATCATTAACTTGGTCCCGCCGGCTAACCCTTCCAAATGCAATGCCAAGCAAAAAGCCTTAAGAATAGCTAGAACTTCGTCCAAGCTTAAGGAATTCCAAGGTCTAAGAGAACCAATTTTAAATTTAAGGAAGTCCGGCTGACGGTGCTGAGAGAGCACCTCTTCTCAATTTTATACAGGCAAAAGCTCTCTCAAAATTAGTAGCCTAACTGATAGATAACTCGATCTTATTTACGGCCCCTACTTGGTCTTAACTTCATCTTACTGCTTCATTATTCCAGCGGGAAACAAATGGAATCCCTAAGTTTAAAAGAACCAAGGCTAAATTTTTGGAGTTCCCAAGTCTCAGAGGACCTAGTCTAAATTGTATATAGGAAAATGTGTCGATTTCCCGATATCTTGATAGATGTCTTGATATCACAGAAGGATAGATAGATTCAACATACAGCGCCACCCCAATTCCTATTCGTAATCCTAGGTCTAAATCATAGGAAAACCTCTTCTTAATTTTATATAGGAAAACATTGCTATTCGAAAAAAAGCTCTCTTATATGCTATCCTTGAGGGGCAGTCCCAGCTGTGTAGAAACACGTGGGAATTCGACTCACCCGTAGGCCGCATAGCTGTTGCGCTTGAAGTTGAGACTATGCTCGTTCAGGTGCTCCATGTACTGGCACCGATCGCCGGTGCGATTCAACGGGCAGAGGCATTCCATGTCCAGTTCGGTGTTCTCACAGCGACCGGCGCCGCACAGGCCCGGCGTGCACTGGGTGCCCTCGACGGCGCAGTTGCGTCCGGTCCAGCCATGTTGGCAGACGCAGGTGTAGGCCAGTTCCGTTTGGCTCTCCAGGCAGATGCCGCCGTTGGCGCAGGGTGAGTCGGCGCAGGGCTTGCAGCTGGTGATGCCCTCCTTGAATTTGGCGTCCTTCATCAGTTCAATGGTGCGACCCTGGAGCGCGAGGCGACTGATGCAGCCCACGAAGCCCGTTTGCTGGGCCACCGCCTCGGCGGGCAGCTGATCCCAACTGGGCACGCCGCCAATGTAAAGATCATCAATTAGCTCCAGCTGCGGTATTTGTGTCAGCGTGGGGAATGCCACCGGATGCTGTTCGTCCAACTGGATGTAGCCATCGCGACGGGAGCGATGCACCCGAGCCGTATGCCATTCATTCAATTCGATCGGCTGTTCGCCACGGACCACCATCGGCTTGCCGCCAAAATCAAAGCGGAATTCCACGTAGCGATCCTTAAGGGAGAGCGCTATATAGTCGCCAGTTCCTCGCGTTTGTCCATTGAAGAGCAGCAGACCGTTGGCCGATTCCGGGCGGAAGGTGATCTCGAAGTTGAAGTTGAATGAGGAGTCGGGCAGTGTGGGGAAGCTCATGTAGCTGAGCGGCTGCTGATGGAACTGCGGTATGACGCCAGTGATGCCCAATATGCTTGGATAGTCCACGGATTCGCCATCGCTATAGATGGCGGTGCAGATGTAGCTGCCGGCATCATTGGCCTGCACATCCTGCAGCAACAGCTTATCCTGTGTGATGAGATCAGGCGGAGAACAGTTAGAAAGAAGGTGGCGATCAGTTAAGCAAGAAGTGCAGATCAAGAGATCAGAGAGAAGGTGGAGATCAGTTAGGCAAGAAGTGGAGATCAAGAGATCAGTTAGAGAGAAGGTGGATATCAGTTTAAGGAGAGGCAGAACTCAGTTACGGATCAGTATCAAATCAAGTGGAGATCAGTTAAAGATCACGAGGAGATCAGTTAGAGAAAAAGTGAAGATCAGTTAGGCAAGGAGGTCTGGTTAGGATCTGTTTGAGAACAGGTGAAAAAGTTACAGATCAGTTTAAGATCAAGTGGAGATCAGTTGAAGATCAGGCGAATATCAGTTATCTGATATCAGAGAAAAGATGGAGTTCAGTTGGACAAGAAGTAGAGATTAGTAAGAGAAGAAGTGGAGATCGGGTAAAGATAAGGTGGGGATCAGTTTAAGAACAGGTGAAAATCAGTTACAGGTCAGTTAATAGTCAGATGAAGATCGGTTAAAAATCAAGAGAAGATCAGTTAGACGAGTAGAAATCGATTAGGGTTCAATTAAAGAAAGTGTGAAGATCAGATGACAAGGATATCTGGTGGGAATAGTTCAGGAACAGATCAGTTAGACAAGGAGATTTTGTGAGGATCTGTTTGAGAAAAGGTGGAAATCAATTGAAAATAAAGTCAAGATCAGTTAAAAATCAGTGGAAATTGGTTAGAGATCATTTAGAAAAAAGTTTGAGATCATTTGGAGATCAGTAAGATCTGAGGCAAAGATCAGTTAGCAAACATTTAGAGATTAATTAAAGAAGAGGCAGATATCAGATGGAAGGCAAAGATCAGTTGTAAACAGTTGTACGATTTAGCTCTACTTACACTGAGTATATCGCGACCCGGCTGCAGCTGTCCGTATTGGCGTGTCCAGCGATAAGTGGGCTGACGGCTCTCATCGGCGTCACAGTTCAATTGGGCCCGATCACCTACCTGGGCGTGCACGATCTTTGGACGGCGCAGCTCATGCGGCTGCTCCTCAATGGCCAGCTCATAGCTTGTCGTATACAGATCACCATCATCCGTGCGGCATTTGCACACATAGTTGCCAGCATCCGCGGCGGTCACCTGAGCGATGACCAGACGGTTGCCCACTTGCTGTGTCGCGGCAAGGAAGTGAAAGAGAGAGAGAGAGAGAAAGAGAGATAAAGATAGATAGAGAGATAGAGGCGATTCACTCACCTGTACGTTGGCGGAGAGCGGTGCACCATCGGAACGTTCCCAGATCACATCCGTGTAGCTGTTGTCCGAGGAGTAGCATTCGACTTCGGTGGATTCGCCGACTCGCAACTTCGATGACTGCTGATCCAGTTTGAGGCTGTAGTCGCGTGGCACCAGAGGCTCTGGCGGGGGCGTGGCCCTCGAGGGCGGCAGATATGCGCCCGGGTTGGGCATGCCCGCTGCTGAGCAAAACCATCAAGGGTGGGGCAGAGCACCACCACAAACACAGGGACAGCACAGTAAGCAATAGAGGAAGAGCAGGACGACGATGACGACGACGACGACGACGACGGGGACGACGAGTTGAGGATGTTTCGGCGGTTGCAACGTTCACAATTGGCGACAATTCACAATTGGGTTATGTGATGAACAAGTGCACGTGTACATGTGTGTGTGTGTGTGTGAGCGGTGAGTGTATGTGTGTGTTGGTGTGTTCGTGTGTTCGTGTGTTTGTGATGCGGCATTGAGATGAGTAGGTAAGAAAAATACACAGAGAGAAAAAAGCAGTTAGCAAAATACATGTCAACAATGGCGATTTATACAGATACGTGATGCGATGTTTATCGAACGCACGTACGTCAGATCTAGCGATAGTTCCAACGCTCGTGTGCGTCTGTGTATATATATGTGTGTTTCAATGTGTGTGTGTGTGTGCGCATTCGATACGCATCACATTTTTTTACTTCTTTTTTTTTTTTTTTTTTTTTAGTCATTTTATGTTTAGAATTTCGTTTCCTAGTTAGACAAATAAATACATAGAAGTTGGTGTGGGTGGGTAAAGGGGATAGAATAGAGCGGTGATATCGATACTAATAGTTACACAAAATAAAAAAAAAAAACAAAAAACATAGGTATATATATATGATAATACGAGAATAGAGCTACACAAAATATACTAAATATGGCTACTGTTTCGAATCACACTGAATACGAGTACAAATACTATGTGTAATGAGTGGTTGGGTTATGTATGCGATTGTTCAGTTTGATAGTTTTTTTTTTTCTTTTCAAATTATTAATGAAAATACTTTTGGTATTTTTCATTTTTTTTTTGGTATTTTGTTGGTATTTTTGTGGTATTTTCAGCTTAATATGTATCGAATGACAAAAATGGGTTACCATTAGACCAGTAAGTTTTCATTGACATATACTTAGCTACAGACACATGTTATACAAATACATAAATATGTCGGATATACATACATATACATATATCCTATATATGGGCTACCAATACAATACAAATTCTACTTAAATATCGTTGACACATGGTTATATCGATAAGATTTTGATGGCAATTTGTTGTTCGATCGAAAGATTTTTAGTTCACAAAAAATTTATTCATTTATTTAGTTTTTTTTTTTTTTTCAATTTCAGTATGCTCTGTTATTTGTCTTGTGTGTGTATGTGTATGTGTATGTGTGTGTGTGTGTGTGTGTTTATTTACAAAATTTTGTTTGGTATTTTGATCAAAATTGTACATTACTTAATATACGGAGTTGGGTTAGTACAAAAAGGAATACCCACATGCATTGATTAACTCTACAAATCAGATACCATTTGCTCGTTTTAGAGTCGTGCCCGATACCAAAAGTTTTGCTGTAAAATTGATGCGGTAAAACGGCGTTCGGGTGTGGGGCATGCGCGATTCGCCGATTGCAAGCACTTTTGTGTTATCGTATTATCGTTATCGTTTATCGATAACATTACCGTTGCGACTTACGTACTAGCAAAACCTGCGTACAGTCAGATAAGCAGCTACCCACACACACTACTGCAATTTGTTGTTGTTGTTCTTGTTGCTTTCGGTTGTTGTTTTTGTTGTTGTTGCAATTGCTTCATCTAAAGTCGTGCTGTTGTTGTTGTTGTCGTCGTTGTATTTATTTAACTTTTCATTATTATTTATCTTAGTTTAAACGTGAGTTGAGTGCAAGTTGCAATTGTTGCAGGTTTTCTTGTTTTGCATCTAAAACTTGTGCGCCTACGAACGGAGTTAGGAGGAGCCAAACAGTTGGATAGACAGATAGCCAGATAAAGATAAAGAGCATAGGCAGATAAGGATAGATGGAAAATAGCATATGATAAATGAACAAACATTTCTTTATGCTACTGTCAAATAGCGAAACCCGACATGGTTTCTATTACTTTCAACTAGCAGCTGCATGTCAAATTTAACAGCTGCCTGTTAAGTTCTGAGTTCAGTGTTGCCAGTGTTGGCAACGCCAATTGACAGTTGGCTTTGGCGTTGCCACAATGCAAGAAAATGTAACAATAAACTTTGACAGCAGCATAAAAATAAAAAGGAAATGTGAGATGATAGAAAAAGATAAGATTGGATAGAGAGCGAAGGAGAGAAATATAGATAGGAGAGAGCGAGAGAGTGGGAGCGTGGGTAGGGGATAAAAATACAGTTTGCAGGCTGCAGAAAGAAAGTGTGACAAAGAAATGTGAAAAACTTAAGACGAACCGAAGCTTTTTGCCAGCCGCACAACTTGATGCTTTGCCGTCCAATCGCGATGCTTTCGCTGATCCCGTTTCCAGATCTGTGAGCGCTTCTGCTTGCCGGCGTAGCTCTTCTTCCAGCGCTTAAAGCTGCCCAATCCAGTGCCAGTGCCAGTGCCAGTGCCAGTTCCAGTTGTCGTGCCCGTACCCACGCCCACTCCGACTCCCACTCCCGTGCCCGCTGTGGCTGCACCCCGGCTGGCCGTACAGTTGAACTCATCGGAATGATCTGTGCAATCGTAGATGCCATCGCAGACCATGCTGGACTTGACGCACGTGTGCGGATGCGAGATGCACTTGAAGTCGGTCGGCTGGCAGGCGTAGGAGATGATCGGGGGACGGGCGGGCGGTGGTGTCAGCGGTTTGGCGGGCGACATTTTGTTAAGTTTAAAATCTATTTTGCTCGCAGTGTTATTTTAGCATATGCAGGCATTTTCAGATTTGGTATTTTTTCGGTATTTTTCCAGTATTTTTTGTTGGTATTTTTCAATAAATATATATGTATTTGATTTGGTTGTATAAAGAGCATAAAAGAAAAGATTAGCAAAATGACGCCTAATAACACATCAGCCGCGGTTAGTACAAATATCGCCCACTTTATTGCCGCTACTGCGATTACGCATACGCACCGTTCGCCAACGTATTAAAATAAACCTAAGTCCATCTAGTATCGTGTTGTTGCAACATATACGTTAACTCATCTATATAGTTGATCGAATGTTGTGTGCCGTTTGTAACAACCGTGTTTAGTATAATTTACAGGGGTAGGTAGCTTGGGGTATAGATGAATTGTGCTGTCAGATGCACTACATACCACAAACGAAAAAAAAAATACTAACTAAATACTAGCTAGTTATGCGGCAGGCTGGTTGTGCAGTGTCCCCGCGTGTGTGTGTGTGTGTGTGTTTGTGCTTTTAGTGGGCCAGCGGAGAACCAAATTATATTTTCTCTATTTCTTGTTTAGTTTAAAAGATCGTAGCTCGTTTATATACAAATCGTAGGACTAATGTTTAGTATTATCAAAAAAAAAAAAAACACGGCATTACAGTAATACAAAGCATGTTTCAATAGATATAAGTAGTATAAATGGAAAAAATAATACATATTATAACATACTAAAGATATGCAAGTGGCTAATTTAAACAAAAAAAAAAAAATACTCATACAAAATTATAAAAATCATAAAAATAATAATAAAAAATAAAAAATAATGTTGGGCTGAAAAATGAATTTCATATGTGATTATTACGCGGTAGCGGTAACACACCTGCACATATATATAAGACCATGCAGGGGAAATCTTGGCCGCCCTTATACAAGCTCAAATTGTACTTATTTGCTAAGGTATTTCGGTATTTTTTTTTTCGGTATTTTTTCAGTATTTTATCGGTATTTATCGTTGGTTGTTGATGCAGTTGTTGCGGTTGTTGTTGCAGATGCAGTTGTTGTAGCAGTTGAGTTGATGTTGTTGCAGCATATCATATTTAATAGTGTATATATATATATATATATATATAAATATATAATATATATACGTATATGTATATATGGTTTATGTATACATGAGCATAATTCGGTTTTTGTGTAGTGTTTTGTAGTATTTTATCATATGCAAAGCGCCCAAAACATTACAAAATTTCATAAGATATATATATATATATAAATATATATATATATATTTGTGTGTGTGTATGTGTATGTTTATTTTTTTTCATTTTGCATTTTTTTTTTTTTTGCACAAGCGCACATGTAAGAGAAAGAGGGAGAGAGAAGAGAAAAAAGCAGTAAAGAAAGAGAGAAATAAAAAATATTTATCAAATAATTTGATGTGTACCATTCAAGAACAAAAAATTATATGCCCTAAATAAAACTACAAATTCGTTAAACGAAATTCTCAAAAATGTGTTTTCTCTTATCTGTTTTTTTTTCTGTTTTTTTTTTTTTTGCTATTTTTTTGGTATTTTTCTCGAGAAAGAGCTTGGCAGAGCAGCGCGTAGTTAAGAATTTGGAATTTAGAATTGGAAATATATTTTCGTTTTGCCAATTGGTATTTTGAATAGAACTTTTTCTTTTAGGAAACGTTGCTCAAAATAATAACCTCAAATTAGGTTAGGTTGAGAGTATTTCACGGATTCCATTGCTTTTAAACTGATTTTAACTTATTCAATGCAAAAAGTACAAATATACGAATATCTAAAAACAATTTACTGTGAGACTTTCAACTGGAGATTATTTACATAGTTTTAATTGGGTACAGATACATGAGGTTTCTATTCGTATTTTTTTTTTTTTTGGGTGCATGTGCAGCTTGTGTGCATTGTGGAAGAAGGGTAAGGGGGAGGGAGTGGAGGGTGGGCGGGGGAGCGGTAATAGAGCAAGAGAGAAGTGTGTGTGTGTGTGTGCAGTGCAATTATTTTATTTGTTGATCGATCGTCTTTTTATGCATATTAAAACAAAACACTAAAGAATATCGCCGTTGAGCAGGAATAAAAGAAACCATCCACAAAAAAAAAAAAGAAACCATTCGGGAGATGATCACAAGAAACCGGAACCAGAACAAAAAACAATAATAGAGGTAAAGGACCACGAACAAGGTGAATGGTACCGACACCAACAAATGAAAGAGCCCAAAAGAAAACATAAATAAACATCAAATAAAACTATAAACAAAACTCAAAGTAAATTTAGAAGGAAAGATCGATCTTTGGCGCGCCAAAGTCTAAATACCCTTGCAGATAGATCTATAGTTCTCCAGAGCTAAGTATGCAAAAAACGGGAGTGCCCGACTAGCAGATACCCTGAGCACAGCAAGAAGCTATTGCTATGCAAATTCTAGCTTCCTTCTCTTTGCACACTGGCTGTGCTTCTTCTTTAACTAGCTTTGCAACTTGGGAAATGCATTTGCGCTTAGACTCGGTGCTTATAGTCCGATTATTTTAATATTTTCTGGGCTTAACTATGGAAACAAAAAACGATTACGTTAATGGAAGAAGATATTGCATAAAGAATTTATAAATAAGCTCTGCGTTTAATAATGAGAATATATTACAGAAATATTACATGGCTCAAGTTTTGATCGACGCTTTTACACAGACGGACTAGATGGACAGACTTGACTAGATAAACTTAGCCCACACTTTCGTTCAAGAATATAAATACACTTTGAAAGAGTCTCAGATGCTTGCTGCTGTCAGTTACATAAGCTAACGCAAAACCTGTATACCCCTTTATCGTAAGTTAATACAAATTTCCCAACTTGAAATAAATTGTTTCTGCTATGTTTATTTTAATTTGTAGTGCTGCGATTTGTTTAGTTCAAATGAAATATGCCTCTTGCTGTCATAATAGCTAACAGTACCTAGTTTTAGCCAAGCTGCAGCTGGCTGAAGCCTTTTTCAGATGGATCTCTGCAAGGGTATATGCGTGTATATATGTATATCTATATACAATTAATCGAATGTTAATTAACGAAATAAAAAGAATATGTTACAATTGTTTTTGCTTTACACAAAATTTTTAATTGCCTGTGTAAAAATGTGTGTTAATATTTTTTGTTGTTGTTTTATTTGTCAAAAAAAACCACTGCTGGGACTTAAAGCAAAAAAAAACCACAGCTGGGACTTATTATTATTATTGTATTAGATATGGCAGCCACTGTTAAGCTTAAATTTCTTTTCTTCTTTTTAAAAATAGTTATGTTTACGTAATATGCGTCAATTGCATTAATATATTTGTATATATATTTATAGGTATATATAAAAAAAAAATAACGTATAGTATTAGAGGGGGGAGGAGGGGGGTTGTTTTTTTTTCTTTTTCTTTCTTTCTGTTGTGGTTTATATAAAGTTTAATTGAAAATTGAAAAGTTGTTCCTTCCAGATTTGGTTTCCAACTTAAGTTTTTAAATGACAAACGTATCGAAAAGGAATTGTTGGCTGTGTGCGTGGCTTTTTCTTCGTCTTTTCTTTTCTTTGCGTGGTGGGTGGGTGTGCGTGTGTGTACGTGTGTGTGTGTGTGTGTGTGTGTGTGAGTGTGGTTCGTTTCGTAGGTTCGTGTTTTGCGGCTGTGGGGCATGCGGTAACTGTACAAGCCGAGTTAACATTCCAGTTGGTATTTTTTGGGTATTTTTTTTTTTGGTATATTGTTGGTATTTTGTGGCATTTTGTTGTGTGACTGTACAAGATGCTTGTGTGGCAGTTGTTTGTTAAGAGTGTTGACACCGTCACCAGTTTGCCAAAATAATTCAGATACTTATAAGTACATATACAGATACAAATATATAAGATATATATAATAGAAAAAGAGAGAGAAAGGGTGTGTGTGTGTGTGTATGTGTGTGTGTGACATGTTTCCATCATTATTGTAGTGGGTATTTTTGTTGTTCTTACAATTTAGAGAGTTACAATTGTTAGTGGCTGTGTTTTTTGGCTTATTGTCAATATATACAGAGTGTTTGGATACCCTAGAACCGTCAAAACCGTATCCTTGAAAACGTATTTGCTTAATATTGCTTGTGTGTTTACGTGTGTGTTCGTGTGTGTGTGTGTGTGTGTGTGTGTATGATTACATTTGTAGATAGTAAGATAGTTGGTAAGTTAACAGCTCGCATATTTACATGGAGTTTTATCGAACATTTATCAGTTTTACAGGGTATATAGTAGTGTGTACTTGTACTATGTATATATATATACGTATGTGTGTGTGTTTGTGTTCGTGTGTGTCAAGTTTAGTCAAGTAGTAAATACATACACATGTGGATATACATATACATATGGATATATTGGATATTGCTAGACATTTATCTATATAGATATATATGTATATATATATATATATATATATAGTTAAAGTAGTGTGATAAGAACAAAGTAAAATCAGCGAGCGAGCGAGCGTTTCAATCTTTCAATCAGCTCTTCGGTATTTTTAGTTTCTTTTCCATCTATTTGTTTATTTTCTTTAGTTTTTATGTTTTTTTTTTTTTTGTTTTTTGTAATATTGCCAACAAAGCCTAATCCTTACGGAGGTTTTTCTTTTAGATGCCTTACAATTCTTTCGATTTATTTGATTTCTTCGTATTTCTGTTAGTATATCTTTTTTGTTTTTTTTTTTTGGTATTTTTTTCTGGTATTATTTTGCAATTGAAATTCTCTGGCCTAAGAAACGTATATAGTTTAGGATCATGTGAGTGTTTGTGTGTGTGTTTGTATTTGTGTGAGAGATAAGAGAGATATTTCAGTATTTCTTTCGCATTGTCGGATCTGACATCTGACATGACCAAGGATATTGTATGTGTGTGTGTGTGTGTGTGTGTGTGGCTTGGGTTTGGGGCTGGGGCTAGAGATTTACTCACGCTGTACACGCAAATCGATGTAGGTGGAGGGCACACGCTGTCGGGTATTGATGTCATACGAATCGCAGACGTAGCGACCGGCATCCTCGGCACGGAGCGATGTCAGGATCAGGACCTGGCTTTCGGGACGTGCATTGTTTGGCAGCGGGCGTCCATCCTCGCGGTACCAGTGGAACTGCAATTGGGCATTTTATTCAAATATATGTATATATGGATGGCTCCTTTATAGTTTCAATAATACATAATTCGACTGTGGCTCACCTGAGTATTGCTGCGCTGCTCGCCGCGCTGCGTGGTCACGCTGCAGCGCAGGTGAATGCTCTCCCCCTCGCGGCTCTCCTGCTGCAGCGACTGCGGCTGCTGTGTGTAGAATGTCGGCGGCCTGACCACCACCTGGGCGGTCTTGCTAACGTTGCCATACTCATTCGAGGCCGTGCAGCTATAGCCGCCAGCATCGGCCGGCGTTATGGCTATAAAGCGCAGAGTCGCTCCATCAATGTGCACCGAGCTGTTCGAATTACGTCAATTTGTTTGTTAAAGAAATGCATGTTTATATTCGGCACTAACAGCTAAAATGACAGCGAGTGTGCTGCTTCTTGCCTTTGCCCAACTACTAATACTATATCTTGATTAACTTCGGTGCTTAAAGTCCGATCTTTACGAAATTCAGGGCTTAAATGTGACGCATACCAAAACTTTAACGAGAAAGTAAATATCTCTTCGACACGCCGAAGATTTGATACCCTTGCCGACACTTGTCTTACGCTTTCGCAGATGTGTGAGATTGGTGAAGCTTGCAAATGTTGAGTTTAATGAAAGTATCTTGAAAAGAGAATATTTTGTCAAACAAAAACTCATTTTTCGATCGATTCTACCCATAGAGCTATATAATATAGTAGTGCGGTATTGTATAGGTAGCATATCGGGTTTGGTCAAGATATCTTAATGAACTAAGATTAACTTTTCATAAAAGAACCTACTCTTCGACCGATCGCTCCTATGGCAGATATATGATATGGAGAAAGACGAACCTATTATATTATATTTATTAAGACTATATACAGACGGTAGGACGGACCTGGCTATATAGACTCGGCTGTTGCTGCTGATCTAGAACATATATACTCTATGTGTTCGAAGATGTCTGCTTCTATGCTTTATCTATTTCATAACTAACTTATCCTACACAAGGGTATGAAAATAGGGTTTCTACTTTATTGGAAGGAAGGGGGGGAAAATATCCAAAAAATTAAGCATTGTCAATCTACACACCGAGTTGGGTGTATCTAGCTCTTTCAAGCCAGGCTTAAAAGAGCTTGTTTTAAAATCGATATTTATCGATATTATGAAAATGAAGGCAGATATCGATTATGGGATTAATGCGTTCACACAGACCGCAAACAACTCATCACGTCTTTCTGATGAAGAATATTTACTTAATAAATAAAACACCTGTGTTAAGAATTTCGTAAACTAGAAACTAAGCCATAAGCTGGGCTCATAATTGCTAAAGTCCAAGTCCAACGATACAAAACTGAAGACGAGGCTTTGTTCGAACTTTGAACCGAATCAAAAATGTTTACTTTTTAGACCTGGCTTGGGTTTCAATTAGTCTGAGGAGCTTACCTGGGCAGTGGTCGGTTATTGTCGGTGGCCCAGTGCACATTCTCGGGCCGGGCGCCCGTCACCAGGCAGAAGATCTCCACATTGCGATCGGCCTCCACTTCGAGCGGTATATTGGGCCGGAACGTGATCTGTGGCAGCGGTAAGAGGACCAGTTCCCTAACCACATAGGTCACAACCGTGCCGCGCTGATCGACGGCATTGCAGCGATACTGTCCCAGATTCTGTTCCTCGACGAATGTGATCGTCAGACGATTGCGTTCGGAGTGGGCGTTCGCCAGCAGCGGCTCGCCATCGACACGTGCCCACTGGGTGCTCAAATACGGTGCCAGATCGCAGGTGAGGGTCACATTGTCGCCCAGATTGGTTGAGAATCTCTGGCTGTTATCCTGGTTCGGGTACGGACGAATTGTGGGTGGCTGTGGGTAGTACGGCTGCTGATAGGGATCGTGTTCCACATCGCCGTCAGCTGCACAAAAAGAAAAGAATGTCAGCCAAGCAGTGTTGTTAGCCGTTGTTCACGGCCAGTGTTGGTCAGCCAACTTACAATCACCAATATCGCCACGCTTGGGCTGCACATCGATGCGTATGGTGCGCTCATCGGTGCCCGCCTCATTGTTGGCCCGGCACGTGTAGACCTTGGCATCGGCCTGGGTCACCCGATAGATATTCAGATAGGCCGTATTCTCGCCCTGTTGTCGGCCCTCCAGCGATACGGGCTGGTTGTCCCAGTGCACCGTGGGATTCGGCGAGCCGCTGGCGATGCATGTAATGCGCACCTCATCGCCCTCGGTGTAGCGCACCAGCGACTTGTCCGGTTCGATTTGTATAATCGGTGGCTCCACCACACGCAGCACGGCAATGCCGGTGGTGCGTCCAACGGAATTCTCCGCAACACACTCGTACTCACCGCCATCGGCGATCTGTATGTCGTCAATGCTGCACGTTGGATAAACGAGAAGGATTAGCACACTCTGCTGGCCAGATGTTAAGAGATTTACTTACAGTATGTAGCCGGGGCTGATCAGCCTGTGTCGGGGCGAGAGGGGCTTGTCATCGATGCGGCGCCACTGCACCGTCGGCTCGGGTATGCCATTGACGGAACAGTAAAGCATGCCCTGGGCGCTGACGGTGTACGTCTGTGGCGCCGCCGGATTTATATCAACGCTCGGACGCTCCCGAGCTGCAAGCAAGTAAATTATGGTGGTTGTACAGATTAGTATTAGGATCAGACTGTGCGGACCTATCTTATTACCGACTCCATTCTTGTGCACTTGCAATGCATAATCAAAAATTTAAATATCACATTTGTATAATATAGTTAACAATAAAAGTCATTTACGGTTTATTACGTTACCAAGTTTTTGGATTGAGTGGCAAGCAATTAGCAGGAAGAAACAGATCAAAGAGAAATATTATGCACTCAAATTCATTGGCTTTGCAGTTCTCCATCAACTGGTTTAGACTAAAGCCCGAAGAGCTTTATGTTCAGCTGAGAGCTTTCTTTCTTGCCAGCTTAAAGCTTTGCTTAAAAGCATAAGGATAGGACTTATGTTGGCCGTTAGCTATCAAGTAAAGTTTTAAGCGCAAAAGTATTTATTTAAAGCTTTAAAGCTCAACTCGAGACAAATCCTGGACGTATAGTAGGGCTTTACGCGCAAGAGCTTTTAATTCAAGCTTTAGGTCTTAAGCCTGGATATGTCCAAATGACAAAATTATATTGAAGCTTATAATGATTGAAAGCTCCCTGTAAGCTCTTGGAGCTCAGCTTAAACAACATGTTTTAAAGCTCGTCTAAAAGCTTTAAAAGCTGGCACAAAAGTTATCTGAAAAGTACAAACTATAAATTGAAATAACAAACTTGGGCGGTTCGCTATGTCAAAGTGTAATATCAGGCTCAGGTGAGCCTTAAAGCTTAGCTAGAATGTTATTAATGAAACCTAAGCTTAAGAAGCTTTGGACAAGGCTCAGAAGTGAAGCACAAAGGCTCGGCCTAAAAGCTTATGTTATCAATTATAGTCGAGTTGAGTTTAAAAGCTCCAAAAGAATTAGTTCAAGATAATCGTAAGGTTAAACTTTTAAGCTTATCTGAACCTAATTTATGTTTTTCCTAATTAATGAAAAGCTCCGTGAAAATAAAGCTCTCAAATGGCTCTCTTGAGGCATATAGCTAAACAAGATGATGGCAAATACCAACAGCGGGACATTATATATATATCATATATATCATATAAATATATAGTCATGATTAGGGAGTATATATAGTAGAGAGAGACTTACGTTCAACGTCGATACTAGTGCTGGACTGATCTGATCCGTGTGGATTTTCGGCGGTGCAAACGTAGACGCCGCGATTATCGGGTATGGCATTGATAATGCGCAGCACATTGCCGGTTTGATGGACATTGGCGGCCATCGGTTCGCCGACCTTTATCCACTTGATGTTTGGATACGGTGAGCCGCTCGACTCGCAGGTAATGCTAAAGTCGGTGCCCTGATCGATGGAGGTTTGATCGTTGAGTCGCACAATACGGGGCGAAATGCTGCAGGAATTAAACCAGGAGATTAGTTAATTTGTTTGCTAGTTAGTTATTAGCTGTTCAGTCGCTCAAGGATGCTAGAATTGAATTGAACTTTATTAAATTTGAGGGTACCATTTTCACATGAATTTTGACCTAGAATAAGATTTAGATGCAAAATTGATCAAGAGCAAAAACCATAAGCAAGAAGCCAAGCCTCGTGACAATCGGATGAGATTTGACCAAGTTATGGGGGTGGGAAATTTTGACCAATGTCTATATAGCATATTTGTGGGTACCATTTTTACATGAATTTTTACTAAGAATAATGTTGCCAGATTTAGTCAGTCAGTTTTATATATAGAGATGGAAGATAGATTGAAAGATTGCTGTCAAGTGAAAAATGTTGATATCTTATCTGGAAAATGAACGACTGAACATATTCCAAAAATAGAAGCAGAATTCCCCAAAGTATTTTGAACACTTGGAGCCCAGCTGTGCTTGCACTTACCCGTCGCCAGAGGGCGGCAGCTGACGCTGCTCAATATAGACGCGAGCGTCCTCCGTATAATTGCGACGTGTGCGCAAATCGATGCCGACGCAGGTGTAAACGCCGGAGTCGCGTCCGGTGGCATCGCGGATCTCGAGCATGTCGCCGCTAATCAGGATGTTGCGCTGGCCGTTCAGTGGATAGCCGTCGTGCAGCCACTCGTAGTGCAGCTGGGCGCCGCTGGTCGATTGGCAGGTGAAGCGGACGGTGTCGCCGGCCTCGCCGTTGTACTCCTCCGGCTGGATGTAGACGCGCTCGCGGACCGGCGGCGGCGGCTGTGGTGCATTGCCGCGCACATAGACCTGGACATATTTCTCATCGGAATCGTATTGGTTCTGCGCCTGGCAGCGGTAGCGTCCCTCGTCCGATTTGCGCGGCGATTCGAAGATCAGGCGATTGTTATCGGTGCGCATGTGTCCATCCGCCTGGCCATCGATGCGCGTCCAGGTGACAGTCGGTGCGGGATTGCCCTCGACCTCGCAGCTGATCTCGTTCGTTTGATACTCCTCAAAGGTCACCGTGCTGGGCAAATTAACGATCTGGGCGGGCGAGCGTTGCGATTGATCTAGGGGGGCAGAGAGATAGACAGGAGAAATCATTAGCATTAGGCATGAGCCAAAAATCAAAGCGAATCCTGAATAGCTACCATAGCGTGCCAACATTTCGCTGGCATATCCTTAAAACGATTGCCGCATTAACGAGTTAGTATTAGAGATTAGCTTAATTTTAGTTCAAATAGCCTTAAGATAGGGTGGACACTCACTTGATATGGTGATGGAGACCTTGTCCTCGAAGACGCGCGAGGTCTGATTGTTGACCGCCTGACAGATGTAGACGCCGGAGTCGGCAATTTGCAGATTATACAAATGGAGGACTCCGCCCTCGATCTCGGCTGTGTTGGGCAGTCGGCTGTGCTGTTTGTACCAGCTGACAAAGACCGGATCCTGCATGGTAAACACGGTAAACACGGTTAACACAAGGCAATCAATCACAATCAATCAAGATGCGCATTCAATCATTTCCATTCACTTACATTATTCCACTTCATGCGACCGTTGCAGTGGAGGGACATGGATCCACCCACCGGCATTATGGTGATCTGTGGCTTCGATATCGACACTATGATCTGGGTGCGTATATTATCGGGCTGTTCGGTTGGCGTTGGCTCCGGTGTTCCATAGTCTGATTGATTGTAAAATTATATCGATTAGATTTCTACGTTCGGTTCACAATTCAATTAAACGTTAGAAATTCAACTCTATACAATTTGGATTAGTGACACGGTTGCGGTTTATTAACGCTGGAGGCTGGATTTGGGATTTGGGCTTACGTTTGATTTGATTTTTTTTGTTTTTTTTTTTTTTATATAGGGTATAGCTTCCAAGTACGCATAGTTTTAGGCACCAACTACTACATAGGTCATATACCAAATACCAGCTAAAACTGTGTTTTAACCAGCTCAAGAGTACACTACAATAGGTTTCACATAAATATGTATATAAATATGGTATCTTCATAGTACGAGATACGTCCGTGAGCTTAACTCAAGGTGCGTGTAAATTTGGGGCTCCTCTTGAAGAGTTTGGTTAGTACGAGTAGCTAAATTTATAACCGACTACTTGACAGCGACAGCGAGTTCTAGTACTAGAGAGAGTTTTCAAAGTTTATTTATTTGCCTTTTCTCATACCCTTGCAGAGGGAATAATACTTTTGTGACGTACTCTGTAACAAAGTAGACTTCTGTAATGCAGATATACTCCTAATTATCTCTGTAAATTTCGTCAAGAAACTTTGTCTGAGTTCGTCATTCCGTTGGAGGCAGCACCTATATGTTGAAATCATTCAGATCGAACTACTATATCATTTAGCTGTCATAGCAAACATCTTTTGATTATATAGTTCTTGTAATTGTTGTCTAGATATCTCAAAGAAACTTCATATTTATGCGATCTGCCACGTTATAAATCAAATCTTATCAACATCGTACCACAACAGTATATAGCTCTATCGGAATAAAATCGGTAGAAAAATGAGTTTTGGTTTGACAAACTTTTCTATTTTTCAAGATATCTCAACCGAACCCAAGCATTATATCTGCTCGAGCGTATCCAAACGGACTACTAAATCATATGACTCCTGGTCCATCTGCCCTATGCCTGCAAGGGTATTTAATCTACGGCGTGCCGCAGATAGCTGTTTTTTTTAAATCTTTTTTTTTTTTTTGCCTACAATACGAGTAAAGGTTTATACACAGAGTTATCGAACTATGAATACATAGCATAGCGATGAGACACACAGATTTTCTTTATACACAAACAAAATACATTTTAAAGAGGTGCTAAAAAAAACTAAAACAAATTAAACAACAACATGGGAGTAGAGTTCAAGTCTAGGTTTCTAGAATTATTCAAGAGCACCGAAAAATAAACGCTGAGCGATTGAGCTTTTACAGCGCTCTGCAGACAGAAACACATAGTGAGAGAAAGGGAGAGAGGGAGTGAGAGAGAGAGAGAGAGAGAGAGAAAGAGAAAGAGAGGAAGGGAGAGCGCCTACAACAGTGTATACACAAAGGGAATGGGTAGAGAGCGAGAGTGAGAGTAAGAGTACACAGCCACAACAACGCAGGGTTGCATTGCCTGTTCAGCACAAAACGAGCTGGCAACACCATATTCATATTTCGATATGACGTGTGGCAGCCTTGTTGCTTCTTTTTACTTTGTTTTTATGTAAGTTCACTTGTAAATTAATTGATAAAGTGCAAATACTTCTTATTTGAATCCAATCTAAAAGGATTATCGAGGGACATACCTCTATAATTTTTCCTCAATATGAAAACATATATTACTATAAAAATAAATAACTAACAAGGTAAAATTTACTTTAAATTTTTTTTTTTTAATTTTAGCAAATATGAATTTGAATCACAATTCGAAAAACGCGTGAATCCGTCCAATTTGAATGTTTTATATCAACTTTTAGTTGCGGCAATGTACACACTCTACATTTTTGCACAGTGTAGTGAATTCTTAGCTACTATGAGAACAATTGAGTAATTGATCAAATGATACTTGAGTTATGGAGCACATTGGGGGAGATAGGAGGGAATATTAGAAAACGAATGTCTAACAGATGGAAATGTGAACACGTAAAATTATGTGAATTGACTTGTGGGTAGTTGAATTTCTCTTTCTTTTTTTTTTTTTTTTGCAGTGTAAGAGTAGTTTACAACAGCTGATAAAGGGTAGACAAAGACAGAACGATAGAAGAGACAGAGGGAAAGAGAGATATAGAGAAAGAGAGAGCATTAAAAGAGAGATAGAGAGTGGTAGTTGTTGTTGTTGTTGTTTGTTTGTAGTGTTTGCTTGTTTGTTTGATTGTTTGTTTGATTGATTGACTGATGATTGGCGAACCTCGCTGATGGCAGCCGTGGCGCAGTTTGGTTATATTTCCTATAACTCTGTTGCCCTTATATATCAGTAGAGTGTCATTATACGATATTGTCTCGTTGGGCTCAATATCGAACCGAAAGCCGTTGCAACAGAATCCCCTGCTTATATCGCATATCTTGGGCGGTTCTTCAATAATGCGAGATGTGTCTAGAATGTGGATGGATTGGATGTTTGTTGTGATGATTTCGTATATTTCTCGAATATATATGATCGTAGAATTTTTTGTTGGTTTTTTGTATATATATATATATTTTTTTTTTTTTTTTGGATGTGGACGGATGTGTGGTGAATAAAAAATAAAGTTGAAAGATATGTAGAAAATTGTATATAAAATGAGTGAGATCAGCTAGCTTAAAGTAAGAGAGATATATTATAAATATAATATAGATATATTATAAATATATATGGATAAGAGCGTTGAGACAGCGAGAGAGGGAGAGTGAGAGGGAGAGTGTGTGTGTGTGAGAGAGAAAGAGAGAGAGAGAGAGAACGAGAGCGAGAGGGGCGGGAAAAGCGAAGATCATAAGAGCTGGATCATGAATCGATTGAGTTCAAATAGAACAATGCGTGGGTTCTGATTGGTAGGGCAGGGAGTCTGGTGCCCATTTAGACCAAACTTTATATTAATATATTGATTTATTCTGTTTTTTTTTTCATGTATATTTTTTAATATACTTATGCTTGGGGTAACTACTCACCGAAATCCTGGCAACGATCGCCTGTGAAGCGTGTCTTGCACTGGCATTCGACATAGCCGCTGCTGCCCAGATAGCAGCTCTCCGTATTATCCTCCTGGCAGGGACAAGCACGGCACTGTCCACTCTCTTCACGGTAGTGCAACGGGGCGCAATTCTCGCACGAGTTGCCCGTATAGGCAGCTGGGCACTGGCAGACCTCAATGTCGATGGCAGGCTCGGCGCCCGGCTGTGCCAGCTCCACAGATAGTTCCAGTGTGACGTCGCGTATGGATGTCCGTGTGGTGGGTATTTTGGGTGTGGCACGTATCAGCAGATGCTCCACGTTGGTCAACACGCTCATGATGTCGTTACGTGTAGCCGGTACGGCGCTGCCGCTATCCAAACGCTGCCACTGCTCCTCCTCGCTGAGGCGCACACTGTACTCATCGAGATGGGACTCCGCGGCCGGTCGGGACCAGACCAGGCGTATGCCATTGCCAATGAGCACCACATCGTTGCCGGGCTCATAGTTGCCGAACGATTCCGTGATCAGAGTGTAGTTCAGCATGCCGCCATAGGCATGCAGCTGATTGCCCTGGACATTGCCGCGCAGACTCCAGTATTTGGGCGAATAGGATTGGTATGTGTAGGTGTACATATTATTGCGTATATCCATGCTCAGATTCGTGTCATCCATCTCCATCTGTTGGCCATATTCATCGGTGATGAGCGCCTTGTTGCTTATAAAGTCCACGGCGATCAGCTGACGATAGACGGACGCGGAGCGGCATTGGGTCGCCTGGCCCGAGCAGTAGCATTCCTTGCAGCCATCCGGATGTAGGGGCGACAGACCGAAGGTACCCTCGCGACACTGATCGCAGCGACTTCCCACCACATTTCGCCTGCAGTAGCAGACTCCACCGCGGCAGTCCTCGGTGCCGTCGCTGTTGCACCAATGGCAACCACGCTGATTGTCCGGCTCCGGCTGCGGCGGTTGTGGACCATTGTTGTCCGGCTGGCAGTCGTAGGGTGTGCCACGGCTGGCATCGCCGATATAACCGCCGGCGCAGCGCTCGCAGTTCTCACCCTCGGTATTGTCCGCACAGTTCTGTCAATGATAAGAGGTAAGGTCATCATCAGAAACGGACCAAGGTTTAATGGGAGGAGCTAGGCTTTAGTCGCTAAAACAATTGTTTTCAATGTTGAAATAGTTTTATAAAACAGCAACTGAACCAGCAAACCGCGTGAGTTAACGAACTTGGGTTCGAACCGAAAACTTGGCTCATATATGTGGAAGATAAGGCTCGCGAACAGAACCTCAGGCCAAGGCATTGGGTTGAACCGCAAACTGAACACCGAAAACCTTTTTTATAAAGCCTGAAACCACAGGAATACCCTTTCTATCTTTACATACACTTGTTCTTTTCTTGAGATATGCGAAAACCTTTACTTCCATTTAATATAATTGTTTTACACATTAAAAAAGGGATTTTACTAAGGTCCAGGTTGGTCTAGGTCACGCCAAATCCCAATGAGAATCGTATTAAATATTCACTTTAGCAGAGTAAGCTACCGTAGACTACCTTAAGGAACTATACACTTTCTCAGGCTACCTTGCACTAACTTAAGCTACCCTACATAACTACCAACAATATGGTGCAACCTATATAAGAACATAGTATTCCATTCCATGCATATCTTTTTAACACCCTATAGGTCATCCAATAAGAGGGTTCCGTTTTGCTCTACCGTGAAAAACATTTTGCCCAATACGTTTGCAATCTGGAGTGTGATAAGAATCCTGGCCCACCAGGATCCTGCGTTTAAACTACTTGACACCCTCAAAGGAAAAGTTAACACCCAGTTGTGCGTAAGGTTGTTCTGCTGCACTTACCAGGCACTCGCCAGTCTCGGCATCGCATTGCGTGGAGTGGCCATTGCATTCGCAGGGCTCGCACAGGCCCAGATAGAGACCCTCCTCGGGATTGCGTTTGTAGCCAGGCGCACAGCGTTCGCAAGAGAGTCCAACGTAGCCCTGTGGGCAACGGCATTCCTCAACCTCGTAGGCGCGCTGAGTGCCCAAATTGTTGGCGGTGGCAATGTCCAAGACGACCTGCTTGAGGGAGCCCTCCATGGTGCTGGTAGTGTACGTAGCCTTGATGTAGATGGCATCGATCTTGCTGAGCGCCATTAGCAGATGCTCGCGATTGGCCACTTGGCCATCGATGCGCTGCCAGGCGCTCTCAATGATGGGCACCGCATATGAGCTAGAAGTGCTTGGGCTGACGGCCGATTTGCGATAATGGATAAGGGTTAGATCCTCGCCGCTCTTGATGACCACATCGGGTGCACTGTTGCGCGACATCTGACCACCGGGCAATGGACTGTAGCTAAGGGTATAGTTGAGGCGTCCGCCATAAGCGGTCAGCTTGTTGCCCAGGAACGGTACGGGCAGGCTCCAGTACAGGGTGTCGGCACTGTAATCCGAGCTGGATCTGAAGCTAATCTCGTAGGCAAGCGTATCGAATGGCACGGGCTGTGGCGTTACACGGGTGTAGTCGCGCACCAGCTGGAAACCGTGGGGCGCACGGGAACGTCCAAAGCTGCTGCTGACCTGTTCGCGATTCCAAGAGGTGCTGGTACAGTCCGCCTGCAGACCGCTGCAGAAGCACTCAATGCAGCCGGTATAGGTGAAGGAGTTCAGGTGGAAGCTCTTCGGGGCACAGCTGTCGCAGCGATCGCCGGTGACCAGGGCCTTGCAGTGGCAGCTGCCATTGCTATATTGGTTGTAGGTGCCCTCCACGTTGCATGTCGACTCGGGTGTTCGGTGGCAGGCACCGCCAGGTGCCAGCGGATTACCCTGATAGCCGGCGGCGCAGCTCTCGCACCGTCTGCCAGTATAGCCTTCATAGCAATTGCAGATGACATCGCCGTCGGGACTCAGCTGGCAGCCACTGGCAAAGTTGTTGCTGCCGCTCTGGGGGCAGGGACAATCGCGGCAGGGCACACCACGGCGAGGATCGCCATAGGTGCCGGCCGGGCAGGGCTCTGGCACGAAGGGTACACAGCGACCCAGCCAGGGACCGCCCGGCTGGCGTACATAGCCCGGTGCGCAGCTCTCACACGAATCACCGATATAACCCGGCGGGCAGTTACACTTCTCCACAAGGGAGGCGCTGCCCAGACCCTGATCCGAGGTGCCGGCCGAGTCCATGGCAATGTTGGTCAGCTCCACCTCACGTGCCACAGCATCAATATAGCCCAAGCGTATCAGTATATTATCGACATTGGCCAATATCATCATGATCTCCTCGCGTGTGGCCTTGCGTCCATCGGGCTTCTGCCAGTTACCGGGCAGGAAGCTGATTCTCACCTTATTCGACTGATTGGGCTGGGTGCGCACGCGATTGGTCAGAATGAAGCCGTTGCCAGTGATGATGACATCCGGCCCAGAAAGGGGACGTCCGTTGCCCAAATAGCTAACCTCATATTTGAGCTCGCCACCGTAGGACTTCAGCTGATTGCCCATATAGTCGCTGGGCAGGGCCAAATAGGGTGTCTCGCGACTGTTGTACTGGACATCGGAGGCACGGAACTGAACGCCATGGTGCATGGTGAGCAGGCTGTGATCGGTACCCTCGTTGATCACAATCTGCTGATAGGGACTCAGATCGACGCTGACCACGCGATGCGACAATATCGGCGGCTGTATGGCATAGCTAAAGAGATTGGCGCTCTCGCAGGAGTTGGCGACACCAAAGCAGAAGCACTTGATGCACTCCTCACTGGAACGGGCCAGCATATTGAAGAATCCAGCGGCACAGAACTGATTGCGATCGGGTGTCACCTTAACAATGGTATCGGGGGTCACGAAGTGGGTGCCGCGCGTATTTATTATCTCGCAGGAGTAGGCGCCGCTATCCTTGTACTGCATATTGGGGCAATAGAGATCGCCGCGGCCGCCGGAGCTGGTCGACACACACTTGTCGGGCACATGGCCCCAGTTGAGGCGCCAAACAATTGTCGGTATGGGCACACCCGTTGCCGTACATGTCAGATTGAGGGCCTGGCCCTCCAGCAGGGATTGCATTGGTGGCGGTGGGCGTATGGGCACGGGCACCACTGTAATGGAACATATTAATATATCTTTTGCTCGATGGGACACGCCATGTGAGTACTTACTGCAACCGAACTCGTCGCTGCCGTCGCGACAGTCGTTCACATCGTCGCACTGGAAGCTCTTGGGTATGCAGTGGCCGCTGGAGCATTGGAATTCATTGTAGCGACAGGGAGCACCGCTGGGCTCGGGATCGCAGGACTGCTCATCGGAATTGTCACCGCAATCGTCTTCGCCGTCGCAGCGCCAGGTGCGCTCCACGCACTTCGAGTTGCTGCACAGGAACTGGTTCGGCTGGCATCTGCGTCCCTGACTGCAGCTGTGCTCATCCGAGCCATCCGAGCAGTTGGGCACACCGTCGCATATGTCCGACTTCTCAATGCACTCACCGTTCATACAGGTCGCCTGATATTCGCTGCAGGCTGTCGGCGGGCGATCAAGTTCGACAGTGTTAACTGTGGAATAGAACAACGGCAGGAAAATGCTATAAGAAAGGACTTTCAAATTTTCGACACAAAACCTCTTACCAATAAAATGGCCAGGCGGCATTGGGAATAAGAGAGAGATTGTGTATTAGCTAAAGATCTATCTAGGTTTAGGAGCTGGAGTTGGTCAAGGCTCTATAAAAAATATAGTAGCTAACCGACTGATTGAGGATCAACAGAGAGATTGGAGGATTAAATTTTTACTTGAGTTATAATAAGGCTTAACTTTTACTCTTAACTGTGAAAAATGGGTGGAAGAAACACTTTTGCTTCAAACTCTCTTTTAAAGAGTGTAAAGACGAGTTTTACATCTTCCTGAAAATCCATTAAATTGGAAGGAAACTGAATGTCATAAGCTCAAACAAGAAGAAAGAAGATAAATACGGGATTATCCAAGGCTCGGAAAATGGGTGTAAATATAAATTCCAAATAAAAAAATAAATATCATGACACGGGCCAGGCCGTATGTATAATAACCGGGTAACGTGGATATTGCTATTATTTTGAGAAAGCACAAAGCTCTTATCAATAATTTCTTAAACTTGCGAATTTTTGTTGAAAGCACAAACTATTTAGGTATATCACGATTATTTGTAACTCAAAGATCTCTAGGTCTCTGGGGCTAAGACTTCTGGGTTCAACATGCCTTAGTGCAAAGGAACCTTTACTGTTAAATACTTCTCAATAGACCTAGTCCAGCTCCGTATATTGCGCGCTTTTACCTAGACCAAAGAACTCGAGATCAATGTGCGGCACAGTGCCATATTTGATGCGATTCGATTTGGGCTCCTCGTATTTGTGCTCGCCCCAAGCTGCGTCCAAACGTATTCGTTGCGAAAGAGAGCATTGAACAAGAAAACCCAACCAAATTCCCAGGAAGCATATCGAGAATTATTTGGTAACGATACTTACAGCGTTCGACAGTCAGATGGACGGTGACTTGTTGACCCTGAACGTAGCTCGGATAGCCAACAGCTTCGCATACATAGGTGCCAGAGTCCTCCAACTATAAATATGATAATATATGATTTAGTATACTAAAAGTTGGGTATTTTATGAGCCAAACTTACGCGTATGTTGGGTATTTCCAAGCGTCCACCCTTATCGGTGAAGCCCACGGGCAGGGGACGACCGCCGGGACGTGACCACCTAACCTTGGCGCGGGCGGGACCCTCGTCACGGCAACGGAAGATGACCTCGCGCCCTGCATGCCACAATAATTATCATTAGCCAGGTATAAGCACATTTAAATATTATGGAGTATACAAATATCGGGAACATTGCGAGCAAATTACTGGATCTAGTTGGGACTATCATACATATCGCTGCGGGAATCGTGGTTTAATGTGTGGGTTTGTGGGTGGGTAGGGAGGTAGGGGGGTTTACAGTTTGCGTTTGTGGTCTAAGGTTTCTAGCGGGTGTGTGCTGACAGAACTAATAATAGGAATTTCGACAGAATTGTACAACGCCGGACCTGTAGCCAATTGCTGTGGTGCAGTGGTGCAGCGCGGTACGAGGCGAGTGTCTACTATTTATATTGTGCGTGTAGTTAGGCCAACTTACCCTCCCTAATATATCCTGCACGTATTTAATTTATGGGTTATGTCATTTTGGTTGGGTTAAGCATTAAAAGTAATGGTAGAACATTATGTAGAGTCAAAAAAACGAATGGAAACAACAAAAAAAAAAAAACGTTCTTCGTATTCGATCGAAGCTAAGTTGAAGCTTTGCAAAAGAAAGATCTACTGTGGGTGGAGTTGTGTTTTGTTGAACAGCCAGAGTAACTGATTTATCGATATCTTTTATCAATTACAGATCAGAAGTTATTGATATCGTTAATCAATTACCGACGAGTTATCGATGCCAGGCAAGTAATCGATAACAGACAATGCGCTTTTTATATCGCTAAAGATAGCAGGCAACAAGTTATCGATACCATTGATCGAAAGAATGTGAAGAGCTATCGATACCGTTGATCGATAGCATACAGAGAGTTATTTATATTATAAATCGATAAAAGGCAACGAGTTGTCAATATCGCTGATCCATAGCAGGCAATTAGCATAGCAATTAGTTATCGATATCGTTGATTGAAAATAGACAAGCTATTGATATCGTTTATCGATAGTACGCGAGTTATCGACACAGTCGATTGATAGCAGACGGGTTACCAACATAGTTGATCAACATGACATTATGCGACATTGCTTATCGAAAGCAGACACAAAAATATCGATCTTTCTTTTGCCAGGCATTCTTTAAGTTTGCTTTTCAAAAGTCTTTGCCATTAACCATGTTAAACATAAGCAGCTATCACCGTTAAAGGACAGATCCATACTTACTTTCTTTGATGATCTGGCTATCGGGATAGGTCTTCAGGTTCAGCTGATTGCGTCCGGCTGGAGACGGGTCGGAAACTGCCAAAAAAGAAATGAAAATCCCTTGTCAGCACAGTGTTAAATATTGGACTACAAAAGCATAGGTAAAGGCCAGTATTATGGGTATTATCGAAAGAATAGAAAATATATATTATATAATAGTTTTAATAGCACTGCGGCGCCCTTATTCGTATTCGTTTAGTACACTTTGGTTGATTGGTTAGCTTGAGATTGTGAATAATAGTTGTTGGTAGTTGTGGTGGGGTTTTGTGCTGACACCGTTTTGTTTGGGTTTGATTGACGGGTCGATGGCCACTTACTATCGATCTCATTAGTGATGGGCTCACAGTCCAGCTCATCGCTGGCATCGAACGGACAATCGATAACACCATTACAGCGCAATCCGAGCGCTAGGCAAGGACCGTGCTCGCACCGGAACATGCTCGGTGGGCAACTGATGCGCTTTGCACCCACCGACATCGTTGTGGTTGGCGCCACAGTTGTGGTTGTGGCTGTTGTTGTGCTGCCTGTTGCCGATCTGCTGCCAGCTAAATGTTTATGATCGCATATTGATCAGTGATCAATCATGATGATGATGATGTGGATGATTTGGATGATGTTCAAGCAAGCTGCTTGCCTTTGCCTAAGGGGCCATCATGTCGGAACCGGCTACTTACCACAATTGTGCTCATCGGAGCTGTCCTGACAGTCCGTTTTGCCATTGCAGCGCAACGCCTGGTTGACGCACTGCCCGTTCCGGCAGCGGAACTGGTTCGGCTGGCATTGCATTATATCGCAGTTCTCCTCATCGGAGCCATCCATGCACTGGGTAAAGCCATTGCAGACATCGGTCTGGGACACACAGTCGCCATTGCGGCAGCGGAACTGATCCGCAGCGCAGCCTGTCAAAGTTATGAAAAAATCAGCGATTAGCAACTGGCTTTTGTAAGAAGTTTTTTTTTTTCAGATTTCTCTACAGCTGGAAGCTAGACATTTTGTAGAAAAAAATATATATATATGTAGATATAAATATAAACAATTTATGTTTGAATAATCTGCATTGAAACCAAATTATTTTTTCAAAGAGTGCATACACATGTGTAACTCGAAGAACTGGCTTAAACTGGGACTAGAATATGTTTGGGTATTTGACAAATTTCTTTCTTTTTTTTTTTATCAGTTAGCATGCAATTGGCTTAGATAGAAACTAGTGGAATACAACTAGAACTAAAGACTACTAGAACTAACTACATTACGGGTATGGGCAAAATGTGAGCTTTGAAAAATTTGCATAAAATATTATTAACCAATACAGTTCTGTTCATCGGAAAAGTCTTTGCAGTCGTAGAAGCCATCGCAGTGCTGTGTTGCATTTATGCAAAACTGTCGATCGTAACAGGAAAACTCGTTATCCTTGCATTGAGTACCTGTTTTATTTATATATATTTTTTTTTTTAAATTTATTTTTAATTATAATTGGTGCAATTTTGCCAACAAAAATTTGGTTAAAAGCGAAAAACAGAAAACAAATAGAAACACGTGAGAGATAGATAGAGAGAGAGAGAGAGAGAGAGAAAGAAAGAGAGCACAATAATATACATTGCATTTATATAAATTCATATAAAAGGTGAATGTAAGCCAGTGACACAGTAAGAGATAGTAAAAGAGAGCGTGAGTGTGTGAGAAAGAGAGAGAGAGAGTGTGTGAGAGAGAGAGTGAACAACATAGATCAGCAACTTAACACATTAAGCAACACGATTACATCCATCGATAACTAACTCAAGGTGCCTGTGCCATACAAGAAATGCAAATAAAAAAAATATTCTTTGCCCAACAGAGATCGTAAATAAAGATAATTAATGCCCAATATATATATATTTTCTGTAATTACAATATCGATTAATATCAAATGAGTTTCCCTGAACTGCACTTGTTGTATAGATTCTAGTATATCGAGATTTTTTTCCCTATTTGAAGCCCTGAAAATTTCATAATGATCGGACCTTAAGCTCCGAAGTTAATCTAGAATGCTTTTCCCATGCACAGAGTGGGGCAAAGGAAAGAAGAAGCACAGCCGGCGTGCGTGCTTGTATGTGAATATCTTTACCTGTAAAACAGGGTATCTCCTAGTCTGGCACCCCGCAACTGGAGCACTTCTATTCGTTTTCATACAAAAACTCATAACGATATCAACAAATATTCAAAAACTGTTCCAAAACCTTTTCTACTAAAGCTAAAATCTTTTAACTTTTGGCTCTGGAAGTTTAAATATCCTAACAGTAAGAATTAAAAGTAAGTCCCTAGCATATGTTAAATAGAATGCCTATTGGGCTTTTAAAGGTAAAGTTGATTGTAGCTTAGAAAGAAGTGGTTTTTTTTAGTATGAAGTATTGTTAATATTTTGATGAAAATTGTATGTTAAAGAATACATAAAGATGATGTACATTTAGGAACTGTTTTCAGTTCGCGAAAGAATATGCCAATGTCAGCTTTATGATATGTTAATACAATAATGTCAATATGATGAAGTTTAGATGTAGGGCTCGACTTTGCTGAGTTTAACATATATGGCAGCTAAGCATATGAACTTCTGCTTCAATCTAGCTTATTCTGTTATATAAGCTGCCTGCTAGCTAAATTTAAGAATTAAATGTGCTTGATATTTGAAGCAAAAAACGGTGCTACGTGAATTTACAACTTTTCTTCTCGCTGAAACTGTTTTCTGAAGTGATTTAGAGAATAGAGAATCTATAACGTATTCCCCGAGCTCTTAGTTCTTTTCTATGCAAAGCTATATTCCGTTTTGGATCCAACATATCTTTATGAACCTCGGATTGTAACCTTTTTCAATCTATTCAGATTTGGGATAAAACAGAGCTGTCCTCGACAGGTGCGTTAAACTAACCTTACCTAACGATAAACATTAATCTTGAGCTTAGTTCCTCTTAATTCAAATCCTTATGAACCTCGGATTCTAACTCAGTGTTTCCTTTATCAATCTATTGAGAGTTGGGATTAAACCAAGCTGAGACAGTTCTCGAGCAAACTCCCCTCATCAATCGCGCTAACCTAAGCCAACTTTCTAAATACTATAAAAATGATCTTGGTTTTGGTCACACTTTTGTTGTGTACCCCGTTTTTTTGAGTGTAGTGCATAGCCCGTTATGAAACTTAATGAGTAACGAGATTTTGTGTGTGGTTAATGATTGGAGTTAAGATTGAAAATGAAATACTCACAATTGGCCTCATCGGAGCTGTCTTCGCAATGACGACGGCCATCGCAGCGTTCGCTCTCCGTGTAGCACCTGCCACTGGGGCATGTGTGCTGTGGACAGGGCAGCGGTTGGTACAATGGATGACGTGTGGTATGCAAATGGCAGTCGCGCTCATCGCTGCGGTCTGTGCAATCGATATGTCCGTTGCAGTATATCGAACGATCGAAGCACGACTCATCGCAAAAGAATTGATCCCGGCGGCAGTCATCGGCGGTTAGCCGATTTGTGGCTATTATTGCGATTGCGATTACGATTGCGATTGCGATTGCGATTGCGGTTGCATGCGATATATATTGATGATTGTTTGTGTGTGGTGTGAGTGTGTGTGGTATCGTTATCGATCCCGATAACGATCAACGATTATGCGTGTTCGATTTTTAAGCATAACAAGAAAGAGAGACAAGAGAACAAAGTGAGCAACGGCTTGTTAAATGGGCAGCAGTTGAGATTAATAAAGCGGCGCTTTCAAGTACAAACACAACCTCACTTAGTTAATAATTTATAGACATATACAAACCTGTGCGACATATATATCGTTATCGCTGCTATCGATACTTAACTTACGGCTATGCACTTAGAACTAAATAGGGTGGGTTGTTGGATAATTTTTGGACTGGACGGCAATTCGATTGGTTCGTTGGGAGAGTTGACTGGTGATGGTTGTTAGAGGGGAGGGCGTGGGGTGTGAGGGTGACTTGAATTGGAATCGTGTGTATCGTTACCCTGTCCCAAGCAATTAATCGGCAATTCATCCGATTCGTCCGTGCAATCGGCATGTTTGTCACACAAAAAATCGGCGTTAATGCATTCAGAGTTCGCGCATTGCCATTGATACGGTTGGCAGGTTTTAATTCTGGTTGTGTTTCTAAAATTGTTGTTGCCAGCTGTGTGTGTGTGTGTGTGTGTGTGACGTGTGACGTTTGTTAAAACAAAACAACAAAAAATAACAAACGTAAAAAAACGCATGAGCATTAAACAAATTATGCAGAATGTTTGTGACTTATGAGAGCAACAGAATAAAAGAGAAAGAGAGAGAGAGAGGGAGAAAGAGAAAGAGAAAGAGAGAGAGATAGCAAAAGAGAAAGCGAGAAGTGTGAGTAGGCGCAAGATGAGCGTGAAGTAAATGCAAGAGTGCGAGTGCGAGTTCCAATAGAGCTGCTATAAAAAAGTGATCGATATTTATCGATTTTTATTTAAAAATGGTTCTCAAAAAATAGAAACCATATTCAAAAACACGCGGGCAATGCGAATATAACAAAATGTAGCAACAATATTCTAAAAGTTATCGATAGGCAAGCGAAAGTTATCGATAACAACTAGTTAAAAGTTATCGGAAAAACCCCGTTTTTTAAACTAATTAAGTGTCCAAGCAGAACGCAAAATCTTAGCCACAGCAGAGCTGCTCGAATAGTTGCCGATAGCAACAAAAAAATGTCGATAAAAGTAAAAAATTCAAAACGTTATCGCACGTGCTCTATGTCAAAGTGTTAAAGCAATGCCAAATAAGAGCTGTCACTGCATAAATATTTATCGATAGCTATCGATTGGCAGAAATCGTAAGGTTAGAAGTGTATATTGAAAAGTCGGCGCAGATAGTTGCAAGTAAATATTGAAGCTAGAGATATATATATGTGTATGTAATTGTTACCCGGACAATCGCGCTCATCGATGCCATTGTCGCAATCGAATTTACCATCGCATCGCAGCGACCAATCGAGGCAGGCGCCGTTGCAGGCAATCTGATAAAGCGTACAGCCGCTGCCTTCAAAATTGTAATATAAACCAATGAAAAGATTGTATAAAATATATTAAAAAAAAATAAAACGACAACAACAAATAAAGTAATCGCAGTGCGCAAAAACTACGAAATTACTAAGTAGACAAAAACAAACTACAAATGCGGCAGAGATCAAGAAAATATAAGGAACTTTCAAACGATAAATAAATGTTGCTACTTCTACGGGCTACGAGCTACAGTTGCAGTGCTGGGGGATATCTAATATGGGGCATACAAGGTAGGGTAAGGTAGGGTATTGAGAGAACTTAGTAATTGGTTTTCTTTGGTTTTGTTTTGTTTATGTGCTTACCACAGTTGCGCTCATCGCTGGCATCGGTACAGTCAGCGATGCCATTGCAATGCAGCTGGCTGGCAATGCAATCGCCAGTGTTGCAGCTGGCGATTGTGCGATAGGTTTATCGATTAGCGATAATGTTCATGATGTTGATGATGGTGACGCAGACGTTGGTGATCATGTGTAATTGTGTGCGTATGAGTTGTTGTGTGTGTGTGTGTGTTTGTGTGTGCATAAAAGAATATATATAAAAGAGGGTTTAATGCGAAGGGCTAACGATATTGTTGCTTGGGCAGCCGATATTGGAACGTCTCTTACAGATAGGCATCATTGCGACAAGAAGTACAGTTGCGCTCATCGTTGCCATCGTTGCAGTTGACAATACCGTTACACAGCTGATCGCGTGGTATGCAATAATCATCGCACTCGAACTCGTGCTCTAGACAATGTTCTGCAAAATGATGATGATCACGATTATGTGTGTGAGTGTGTGTGTGTGTGTGTGAGTGTGTGAGTAACATAAATTAGAGTGGACCAAACTGTACACTCTAAAGCTGTGTTAGGCAAGTAGCAGAGTGTGTGTTTGGAATGTTAGCGAAGCAGTTCTTAACACAATATACAGTACAGCCTCGCTGCAAGTGTGTGTGTGCGTGTGTGTGTGTGTGTGACATATATGAGTGTATGTGTGTGTGTGAGTGAGTGTATGTTTACCTGTAAAGGCCGGACAATCGAGCTCATCGGTTTCATCTTGACAGTCCGCATAGCCATCGCACTTCTTCTCTAAGGGTATGCACTGGCCAAAGTCACACTCAAAATAATACAGATCGCACTCATTCAATGGATCATTGTCGGGGTCTGTGTCTGAGTCACTGTCTATAAATGCGTATTTGTACATGGGACAATGTGTATGCAAAGATGATGAAAAAAAAAAATAAACAAATATATAAAGTATAAATGTAACGGTCAGTTATTTGGAAACTCCCTTGCTCCAAAATTGTGGGCAACCCTTCGGGCTATATTTCAAGTTAATTTTGTTTTGGTTTTTTTTTTGTTTTTTTTGTTTTTTTTTGAGGTTAGTTTCTTAGTAGTACCGTAGTTCGTCTCGTAATTGATCAGACAGTTGTACTCATCGGCGCCATCGGCGCAGTCGGTGATGCCATTGCAGCGCTTATAGCCGGAAATGCAGCTACCGTCCCCGCATTGGTATTGGAAGGTCTGGCATTCGATGATCGGTCGGCTCAGATTGAATTTGGCATGAAAGTCTGATGGCATGATCGTATTTGTATGATGGTATGACGGTATGACGGTATGATGGTTGTTGTTTGTTGTGTTTGATGTTGTTGTTGTTGTATTCAATATGGAGCATAAATCACAGAGAGCGAGACAGAGACAGTGAGAGAGCGAAAGAGAGACGACGATTTTACACAGTTCAGATCGCATATATATTGGGTTTTATTTTGTTTTTTTTTTTTTGCGCAGATTAAAGCGTGGAGCGTAAAAAGAAGAAGAGAAGAAAGTACAGTTAGCGGCATGAAAACTACATATGTATGTATGTTTTTTACTCTTCAACAATGTTGGCGTGGGATTTCGGGTTGTGGGCGGTAGGGAATTGGGGGCGGGCATAATTTGTGGCTGTGGTGCATTCATATATTTGGCAAAATTATAAATACTTAGTTGGTTATGCTTAGGAATTAAAAACTCAAAAATACCGAGCGCCAAATAAAGCTAAAGTTGTGCAAAAAATACTAGAAAAAATATTAAAAATAAAATACTATAAGAAATTTGTGCTTATCTAATTAATTAATAAGATTAATTAGGAACAATAAATATAGTTAAATAATATATAAATATATTTCAATAGATAATTAATATGTAATGTTAGCTAAATAAGACCTTTATCATAATGCAGCAGATGCTCACGCGTCGTGTCACGACACGCGTCCATCTCTAATGTAAGATTATTTAATATTATGATATATCCATACCCAACAGAAATATAAGTTAAGTTTAGTTAGTTAGGCAATTAGTTCGTTTCGCATAGGCAGACTTGTGGTGCGAGTGTGACCATGGGGGGTCGGGGGGGTTGGTATTGTGCGTACATGGGAAATGCATGACTTGGTAAAGCAGAAATTCAGTGGTTTGCTACTTACGGCATGCGCTCTCATCGCTGCCATCGCGGCACTGAGATTTGCCATCGCAGACTTGGGTTTTGGGAATGCAACCGCCGCCGCGCACACATTTATACTGAGAAAACACATGTATTGTTTATGTATGTGATGTATGTATGTGTCTACGTTTGTGTCTGTGTATATGTGTGTGTGTGTGTGGGGGGGTGTAGCTGTGTGTGTGTGTGTGTGTGAGGGATGGAACTCACCTTGTCATTGCTGCAATTGCAAAGTGCATAGTCCTCATCCTCATGCTCTTGGCAGTCGGGAATGTCATCGCAGACGCTCTCAATCGGAATGCAATCGCGATTGTGGCACGCGAATTCAATGTTTTCGAGGCAATTGCTGGGCAATGATGATGACGACGATGACGATGATGATGATGATGAGCTGTCTATAAATGGTGTTTGGTTTTTTTTTTTTTGATATTGTGTGGATGTCGGTGTTTGGCAAGGCATATTTTTAATAATACGAGCGAGCGGGTACATAAATAACATAAAAAAAGAGAAACAAGAGAGTTACAGTGAGTGCATGAGAAAGAGAGCGAGAGAGATAGAGAGGGGAGTATGTATGTGTGTGGCGATTATAATTAAAAAAAAAAAAAATAGTGGGGGAATATTTAAAAATAACGTAACATTAAATGCTAAATTAAATGCTTTACTTTATATCTAGTTGATTGCTTTTGTGTGTTTGTGTGTGTGTGTGTGTGTGTGAGCTTAGTTTAAGTAAATTTCAATGTACAATGCTAGAATCACAAACATGGCATGCACTTTGTTGTGGAACCCGTCTTAGCTAAAGAATTACACCAGCACCCAAACGGTGAGCGCAGCGCAGCAGCTCGTCACTCTTTACTCGCTGCTAACAACTCGTCACTCTTTACTCGCTGCTATCAACTCATTACTGGCTGATAGCAGCTAGTTACACGTTACTGACTGTTAGCAACTCGTCACTCGTTACGTGCTGCAAGCAACTCGTTACTCGCTGCAAGCAATTCGTTACTTCCTGCAAGCCATTCATTACTCGCTGTTAGCAACTCGTTGCTCGTTACTCGCTGCTAGCAACTCGTCACTCGCTGCTAACAACTCGTCACTCGTTACGCGCTGCAAGTAACTCGCTACTCGCTGCAAGAAATTCGTTACTTCCTGCGAGCCATTCATTACTCGCTGTTAGCAACTCGTTGCGCGTCACTCGCTGTTAGCAACTCGTCACTAGCTGTTAGCAACTCGTTGCTCGCTTATCGCTACTCGTTACTTGCATTGCACAACAGCTTACTCGCTAGCCGGTTTTTTATTTTTCCCAAACATTTAGTGCTGCATGACAACCCGTTGCTCGCTGCACGTTACTCGTTAATTCAAACCCAAGCTTCTAGCATTGCTTACTCGCTACCTGTAAGACGGTTTTTTGTTTTACTTTTAGACATAAGACACCTACTCGTTAGAACTCCTCTCGTTGTTATTGGTATTGGGTTAGTGGTTGAACGCGGGCCTTCTGTTACTTTGTATGGTGATTGTGTCGCTATTGTTGTCTGGCGCTCCAGTGAGCCCGGCGGCACCGTTGCCCAGTAATAGGGCGTCGGTGCGGCCGTCACGGGTCGCCTGGTGGTTGTGGGACGCTTATAGCGATCGCAATTATCCTCGTCGCTTTTATCGTTGCAGTGGTAGCTGCCATCGCAGCGCAAGTGGAGCGGTATGCAGACTTTGTTCCCGCATTCGAATTGATTGGCGGCGCACGGATTTTGGGGACTTGACTTTTCGTATAGGTCGTGGGGAAAGTACACTGCGTACTCTTTCGCATCGAGCTCGTGCATGCCGATATGAATATTGTTATCGTTATCGCGGCCAATTTTCGGCGGTGGTCGCCGACGGTGATGGTCTGCATAATTGCGTATAATGCCATCTCTATCGACGATATCGGAATCGTTATCGTTATCGGGCCCTTCGTTGATATCGTTCAAATCTGCGAGCCGCATACATTTTTCGTTGTTATCGGTTTTGGGGGTCGGGGTAGGATGTTGGGGTGGTAACCGCATGCAGAACCGTTGATATATATGGATATGGGATTGGGATATTTGTAAGATGGATTGGATATCGTTATCGATTTTTTTTTTCGTTTGTTAAGTTTGAGCATGCAAATTTTGCAGTTGAGCCAATTGATGTTGATGTTTTTCCAGTTGCGGGGAGTTGGATTGTAGTTTTTGTAGCGTGCAATTAATCGATTAGTTTTTGGACATTCGATAACCACAACCACAAACGTTCAAGTTTGTTCACATATTTTGGTACATTTTTTCGGATTTTGTTTTTGTTTTATTTTTTTTTTGTTCAGGTCGAATTGGGAAAGAAGAGAAATAAAATGTAAATTTGTTAAGTAAAAAATCATAATTTTTGGCAGTTGACACGCATAAGAGCTACCACAAAGACGCGTAAGCATTCGATAAATAACTATCGAAATAAGAAGCGATACACATAGGGAAGAGTGTAAGAGAAGATATTGAGAGAGTCGCTGTAAAGATTGAGCAGTCACCAAGAGTTACCAAATATAAACAGAGAACCGCAGTAAGCAATACACATAGAAGCTTATTTCATAACAGAGACGCTTATCGATAACAATGCCAGAGACAGAGCACTTACCGCAGTCTTGCTCGTCTGTGTAATCGTTACAATCGTAGATGTTATCGCACACCTGACGCATCGGTATGCACTCACCGTTCCCACAGCGGAACTCAGTAAACTGACACTGATCATCGGCATCGTAGCCACCTGAGTGTTGTGTAATGTGTTATCGATAACCGATAGTCGGCAATGGGTATGGATATGTCTATGAATGAGTTAGTGATGCGCTGTAAATGTGGTGAGTGTTGCGAGGAAGTGAATTGGAATCGTCGCTGGGGCTTCGCCTGTAGCCTGACAGCTGACAGGGCATAAATCGAAAAGTGCACGACAGTGTTGTGTAGCGATAAAAAGTAGGGTAGCAGTAACAGCGTTGACGGGCGTTGACAATACGCGTGACCAACTTACCTGCGAGTGTGCATACACTCTCGAGCAACTACAACAGCCAAACACGAACATTCACACACACACACGCACACACACTCACCCTCGCAGTAGCGCTCATCGGATATATCCTCGGGGCAATCGATGTTGCCATTGCAGAGCATCTCCTTGACAATGCAAGTGCCATCGTCGCATTGCCATTTGTCGTACAGACAGGCTGCATGTGAGCAATGGGCAAGAGAGAGAGAGAGAGAGAGAGGTGGAGGGGGAAGGTAGGTGGAAAGAAGAGAGGGAGAGAGAAAGTTTGCCATGTACAGCACATATCAAAATGAAAGAGAAGGAGGAGTTAAGACATACGGCAACCCTCCTCGTCGGAGCGATCGTGCGGACAATCGGCGCGTCCATCGCAGCGATGCACAATCGAAATGCAGCTGAGATCGCGACAGGTGAATTTGCCCTTGGGGCACGTGTAACGCAGCTTTGGCACAACTGAGCAGCATGGCGAAAAAGTGCAAAGAGACAGGGAGAGAGAGAGAGAGTGTGTGTGGGGAGATGGAGAGCAAAATAGTTAAGAAATGAGCATAATGCAAATGATTGATTCATTGATTGATTGATGCATGTGTGCTGATGTACACACTAGATCTCAAAAGCATAAAGAAATTTGTATACTATTGAAGCATATCAAACGAGATAACAATCTTTTATTTAATTCACCGTTTGAATTTGTCTTGAACAGAGAGCTCTGTCAATCATTAAAAAGGACAATGCACAGTCATCGTAGAAGCTAATTGATTGAGCTTGCTTGACAAATATTTTATTTTAAGCAACAAACTGCTCTACCTAAATACTCTGCTTCAGACATATGGCAGCACCAGATATAAATCATGTGCATGCTAAGTTGGCTGCGCTAAGTAACTGTCTCAATCAAATATGATTGACAGCAGAGACAGACAGAGTGGAAGTGAGAGTGAGTGAATAGTTTTAAAGACTTTAACTTTTGGAATCTGTGTGCTCAGCAAATATATGCATTCTTTTTGATTTGATGAATTGATTGATTGATTGATCTACGTCCGGCAACGATTGATACTCACTTCCATCGCAGTGCTCCTCATCGTCGGCATCGTTGCAATCGGCGTGGCCATCGCATTGCTGGCTGACGCTGATGCAGCGGGTGCCATCGCGACATTGATACTCCATGCCGCTGCAGGCGGCGGCTGATGTGGGCGTTAGTAACGTTGGGCGTATAACGGTAATGGGTTTTTTTTTATATATTTATTTATGTGTTAGTTGTTGCCCCCATTCGCGAGCGGGCGGGCGGTAGTGAGTGAGAGAGAGAGAGAGAGAGAAAGCAGAGAGAGTAAAAAAATAATTTGGTTAGTGGTTAGTGGTTAATAACTTTGGTTAATCGGTGTGGCTTATGGGGACAGTTACCGTAAGCATACTTAGGCTAATACGGGAAGATTACAATGGCTACGACCGGTTGCCGCTACAGTAACGTTTATCGGTTATCGGCAATCGGCAGCGGTTATCGATTATCGACTATCTAAATGGCTTACAGCTAAACATCTTAGTCAAACTTAGTGTTTACGCATAGACGTATCCAAAATACTTTGGGCTAACGTCTACCAAAAATATACGTACATACATATATGTGTGTCTAGGGTGTGTGTTTGTGTGTGTATATAGGTGTGTGTGTGTGTGTAGGGTTTTTGGCATTTAATAGATCTGTTCTCAGTTCTCTCAACTTACGGCATTCATCGCCCTCATCCTCGCCATCGGGACAATCCACGATATTGTCGCAAAGCCTGCTAGCCTCAATGCACTGTCCATTGCGGCATCTATATTCGCTGGCACTGCAATCTGAAAGGGCACAAGAAAGGTATTCGAGTTTAGATTTATGCATACACACACATATATACCCTGTAAATATGAGTGATTGAACAACAAAAGTTTAGCACACAAGTTGTGCTGTTGCATGACACAGTCGATACTATCTGTAGGGTTTAGCTTTTTGAATTAACCCATCGAACTCGTGGATTATAGGTCTGATTGCTGGAAAATTTGGTATGTGGCTTCCTTTTTATCTGTTACTGTTGCATACTTAGTATTTAAGTAATCCGCAGAACAGTTCTCGAACTTTTCAAACACACCCATTCAACTCAGAGAGTATTAGTCCGATTAGTAGTTGCTGTCAACATTGGTATGTGGCTTCCTTTTTTGTCAGTTGCAGAAGCATACTTAATTGCACGGTAATCCGCACAGCTGTTTTCGCATGTATATCAAACCCATTGAGCTCAGAGACTATAGAGGATTGGATATGCCAAATTTCGTATATAAGCTCAGGCGTTCTACACGCACTTATTTTATAAGAAATATGATCTAACTAAATAAATTGTAATAGCAGCATTTTTTGTTTTTATATAAAATTTCTGTTTGCTGCAACTAAATTGCAGGGTATTAGGCGGCTTAGCACTTTTATGTGGCTGATATATGGGTGTATATTTTGGAAATATATATATTTTTGGACTGGCAATGTTGCAATTAGCCCTCAACCGGATGCAGTTTAACAAGCATTTCCCACTTTTTCGTCAAATTTGTCAGTTGCCAACTTGAAAGCAAAAGTTTGTTAGGTGTCTGTCTTTGGCTGTATGTGTGTGTTGTATGTGTGTCTGAGTGTTGTGTGTTGATAAGTTGATAAGCCTGACAACCTACTCGCACCGACACAGCGACCATGCCACACCTCCAGCTCCGGCTACAGCTCTGCTAAAGCATCGTTAGCCACAGTTTCCTGTGCATGCTTTTGCCTTTTTGAACCCTTTTTTTTCTTCTGTGTGCCTGCCCCGCCCACGGCTGTTGTTGTTGCTGTTGGACAGGACGACGCCTTAAATTCCAGTCAACTTAAGCATTTTCACAAATATTTTTCACACTTTTCATTCATCTTCTGCCGCCTGTTGTTGCCTTTGCAACACAAAGTGGCAAGCAACGCGGATTTGATTACAAGAGAGCGAGAAGTTTAGCCAAAGGGCGGGGGCGACAAAAAAAAAACGCACAGAAGGAGTTCAAGGGTGGTTGGCGAGGATGGGGGGAGGGGCGGTGGGGGGGGTGGGGGAGTGGCTGTGTAACAACAGAGAGCAGCGGCTAATTAAAAGCAAAGACAAGAGGCGCACGCCAAAAACTGGGGGCGTGTCACTTGGCTCAAGTGTAATCAGAGCCAGCTTTCAGCTGCCTCAAGCCAAAAAAATAACAGAAAATAGACATATATATGTATATATATACGTATAAATATATATATTTAAGTATATATAATTTGCAGATTATAGCAACAATTAGCGGGCATTTAATATGCAACAGATACTTTGTCCACACCAAAATGTCAAAGGGAATAGAAAATAGTTCAAATTAAATAGCTTAAATATCCGTTGCATACTTTTAGGGGATGCATCTAAAAATCTATATAAATCAAAGCTATTTATAGCCTTAAATAAGACCTAATTAAATTAAGTATTTCAACTGATCAATCCAGCCACTAAAAAGAGTTGAAAGCTGGACATGGATCATTGAAAATGGCTAAAAAGGCTATAATGTATTTGTGCAAATGTATGTAGCGGGCAGAAGGAAGCATTTCCGAGCCCAATAAGTTTAAATATTCCTGATCGGAATATCTGTGTTGACTCTATTTGTCGAGTCATTAGTCGAGTCGGTATAGATATGCCCTAATATGTCTTTCCGTCTGTCTTTCCGTCCGTCCGTCCGTCTGTATGTATAATCGCGTCGATCTCAGAATCTATAGGAGCTAGAAACTTGAAATTAAACTAAGGTCCTCCTCTTGCCCGCGCTGTACGAGTTTGTTTCCCATAATCGATAGCTTGCCCGTTTTCAAGCAATCGATAATAATCGATTTCCTTTTTTTTGAGTAAATCTCTAGGTATTAAGAGCAAGAGTCACCAAAGTTGACATGAATTTTCTACAAAAATATATACAAATCAAATATATTTAATCTTATAGAAAAAGGTTCGGGGTATCGCCTAGTCGGGCACTCCCCACTTGAGCACTCTTACTTGTTGTATTTAGTAGACAATTTTAAATAATAAATAACAATAAATGTGCGGCAGATGTAATTTTTAACTTAAATCATCTGTAAATGCATTCACTTTTATGCCCTTGTGTAGGGTTGTTTGGCTTTGGCACGAAATATATCGAAGGAGACATCGAAGTAGACATTTCCCATCCCATAGAGCATATATATATATTCCTAATCTATGTGAAAAGACGAAATGTCGCGTCATCTCGCAGCTCTCGTATAAAAGTGCGGGAGACTTGATAATGCCACGTCAGTTTTTACTTTGTTTCAACATCTGCTCCCATTTTAATAATATCGATTTAGAAAATTGGAAAAATATCTCTACTTTAAAGCTACAGCCTTGCGCTTTGTTGTATGTCCATATATGACATATTTCTTTGCCATATTTTGGCAAGATCGGACTTCAGATCAAGAAGAGGACTCGAGTGTTTGCAATGCCAGCCCGGCGCTGGATGCAGGGCATCTCCTGGTCAGGCAGCGCAATCTTGTTTGCTTTTTGGCTTAACATATTTGTGTATTTGTTTTGGAAATGTTTACTTCTGCTTGTTCTTCTTTTGCCTTTGCCATCTGATTGCCTTGGCGCATTCAATTAATGCAAATGCCTTCAGCTGGCTTCAGGTGAGGCTTCGCATTGGCTTGCGGATTTAGGCTTGAGGCGATTTTTTTTTTCGTTTTTTTTCTTTTTGGTTTTTAGGGTTTATTGGGGCCATTGGCCGCCATAAATCAACAATTGTCGTCGTCGTGGTTAACTGCAGCGCCAACTTTAACTACTTTTTGGGCGCTCACAAATCGCTAAAGTTTTGCTTCTGGTTTTTGTTTTTTGTTCTTTTGCTTTGCTGCTCGCAATTTGCAACACGAAGCTGCCAAAAGCGTTTTCTTATTATTATTGCGAAGTTTGTCTATGGCGCAATTGGCACTCCTCCGCGCCCTGCCACGCCTACCAGGCCCGAGAATGCGCTTTGACAATTCCGTTTGCGCCTCAAAGCATGCAACTCAATTTGCAGGCCAAGAAAGCGGCGAGAGGCGTGGCAAGCGCCATGTGGCAGGTGGCAAGTGGCAGGCACAAAGGTGCAGACAGAGAGAAGCAACATAGCTTTTGCTTATTGACATTAAAGATTCAATAATGGCCAACATATGGCAGCTGCCGGATTTGGCTGCCAAACTCATCAAACCGAGCAAAAAAAATATATAAAAAAAATATATGGCAAATAGCCAAAAGAAACAGGCAACAGGAGCTGCCTGTGGTCCAGAGTGCTCGACTACAAAATACCCTGTGTTTAGCTAACTATGAAGGTAAATAGTTGGATGTGAAATAGATGCTCAAAACAATTGGAGAATATAGATAAAACTATACGTGCAGACAGTCCGATAGATAAATGCATAATGAAGATAGATACAAAATTAAGATAAATAATAATATATCTCTACCTAAATAGATACATTTCCTTATATATATATATATATGGATCATTAATTAAATGTATTAAAAGATGGAAAGGAAGATAAATAAACGACATTATTAGTTAAATAAGCAACAAGATGTTACAAATAAATAGATAAATGGACGAATAGAAAGATAAATTAATATATGCTTGGGTATATCTCTGATTATAGAGATTAAAGATATAGAGACTTTCTATCTATCCATCTATCTATACATCAATCTATCTATATTTCAATCCCTCCATTCATCTATCTATCTATTAATCTATCAATCTATCAATCTCTCCATCTATCTATATATATTAATATATCCATCTATATATCCTTCTATCTATCTATAATTCAATCAATCAATCAATCTATTTATTTATCCATCGATCTATCTATCTATCTAACAACCTGTTTATCTATCTATATATTAATCAATCTATATATCTATCTATCTTTCCACTATCTATCTATCTGCCTGCTGTCTATCTATCTATATATCAATAGATATATTGATCAATCTATATATCTATATATTCATTTATCTATATATCTATCTAAAGACTGAGATACACATCATATAGACAGCTCAGAGTACAGATATGTCCGCCTGTAGCAAAGCCAATGCCCAATCGTATGCTAGCCTCTTTTGTCGTGCCCATGCAGACAGGGTATTTTAAAGAAAGGCTTCCAATTATGTGCAAGCCTCAGACAGAGAAAAGGGGCGTCGTGGGGAGCGGGGAAGGCAGCAGAGGGGCAGCTGGTAAGCCATTTGCCGGCTCGTTTGATGCTCAGGACACAGGTAAACAAATTACGTGCAGCATTTATAATCCGCCCAAAACCCACCCAAAAACAACAAAAACAAAAAAAAACCCGATATATAAATAAAAAATAAAATAAAATAAAACAAGATGGAAAAGCAAAGGATAAAAAAAAGCATCTCACAAATTGGGCGAGAAGCAACAGGCAAACAGCAATTGGCAGCAGTCGCATTCAAATCACAGTTGCAGTTACTTACGCACACACACACACACACACACACGCAGAGAGAGAGGAGCAGCAGCCACAAAAACTGGTTCAAGTGTCAAATGGCCGTGTGGAATTTCGCTCGCTGCTTTCCTCAGTTTCTCTCTGCTACGCTCTCTCTCTGTCTCTCTGTCTGCTGAAATGAGAGCCTTGTCAGCAGGCGCACAGCAGCGCACAAGTGAATGAATTGAGTGCATGCGAGTGTTTCGAATGCGTGAATGAGTGAATGAATGACCAGCAGCTCGTTGCCAGCTCCTGCACTCATTTGCACTTGAACTTAAAACGAGCCGCCTGCAAGTATGCAACGAAAAAAGAAAAGAAA